AACTGCGTTGGAAGTAGGTCGAGAGAAAGCTGTGGGTGTTCAAAGCAAGATAGAGCATCAATCCCTTAGGTCATTGATGACTAATAGGTGCAGATTATGTGGTTGGAGCCCGCATGGTAATCGTGCTCATTGGTTTAAAAAGCTGACGAACATATCTCATTAAACAATGGCGTAGAGTTTCAATGTTGTTTCGTACCTTTTATTCCCTTATTTCATTTATGACAGGAAGTGTTTTCAGGAACACCATATTAAATCGAACAAAAATTTTGTACTTCCTAGTTCTGATTACCATTAATACATATTTATGAATGTTGCCAGGCTAACTACGGCAACCGCTTGTGGGAATTTTATATTATACCCATCATCTTCCATAAGTCGTGTCCCAACTTTTCTGCCAGGTTTCTTTTTTAGTTGTTATATTCATCAATGTATATAATAACTTAGCTTGTACATTTGTTGCATTACATAATCTCTATGCCATTTGAATTTAACAGTTATTTGAAACTCCCCGAATGCCCTGGTACGGCCGAGAGTGGGGAGAGTCCGCTCACCCTCTCGAAATACTCTCACACGGCCGCGCGTATACAGCCTCTGCCAGGGAAGTCCTACTCATTGCCTTCTCGTGGCGGGGGTGTTGTTTACGAAAATGAGAGGACGAAAAGCGAATGTCCGGCGCTTTAACCGGATCACAAACCAATGGTGCACATGGGCTCCAGTATCCTGCGGGAACAAATGGCGTATGAACCAATCGTCGGTCACCGGCTACCATGGGATTGCATCTTCTTACGATGCTCCACTGCCTTGTGGGTTAGACCTTTGGGTCGAAGGCTCTGGGTGTGGCCCCCTAAGATAACCACCTGCTTCGGTTTGGGCACCCGGTCAGTATCACAGCCCACACACAAATGATGAACTCTCTATGTCTATGAAAATTACTTTTCTCGCTTCGAAAAACAATCAATTGATTCAAATTATTATCATTACAATTATTGTCGTTATTAATACTATTATTATTATTATTATTATTATTATTATTATTTTCCACCAAAGTGAGAAGAAATCGGCGTGAGAAACGATGTCTTTTCGTCATCTCCGCCTATGCCCCGACAGATTGCAGCCCGGATGCAATCAAGGATGAGTTTTACCACCAGTTATCTGTTCTTCTCCAGAAAGTGCGTTCGACAGATATTGTAGTACTAGCCGGAGACTTGAATGCTCAGGTCGGGCGTCTAGGCACAGAAGAGAGTCGTTTAGGTGGCCGATGGGGACTCGTTGGTCGCAGGTCAGATAACGGGGACCGTCTACTGCAACTTTGCACAGACCACAACCTGTTTCTGGCTAGCACTAACTTTCGGCACAGTCATCGCCGATGTGCCACCTGGCGTCCTCCCTCTGCATCTCAAGCCTGGACTCAGATTGATCACATCGCGATCAGCTACCGCTGGCGTGGTTGTGTACAAGACTGCCGCTCCTTTTGGAGTACCTATCTGGACTCTGACCATGCCTTGGTCTGCGCCAATCTTGCCTTACTTTTCAGTGGACAACGAAGTGACCGCCACCAACAGATTGATGTTAGCAAGCTGGTTGCAACTTCTGTTGCAAGTAAGTATCGAACCGAGCTAGCCTCTAGGCTAGCTACCACTCCACCGAAAAGTATAGATGAGCATTGGTTGCAATTGCATGACGCCATGAAAATGGCGGGAACAGTCAGTTGTGGGTTTGCGAAACGTCCCGCTTTAAGCACTGGGTTTCTTCTGGTTCCTTACAACTCATTGAAGCCCGTCGGTCTACTCCGGGTGACCGTGAGTTTGACCATAAACGAAGGATGTTACGTAAGGAAATTGGGCAAAGCTTGCGTAAGGACCGAGAAGCCTGGTGGTCGATGCGTGCTAATGAGCTGGAAGCAGCAGCTGCATCTGGTAACTACCGGAAGCTCTTCCAGCTCATCCGAGCCACTGGCAGCAAGAAGTCTGGTGTGAGTGAAACAATCTGCGAGGATGATGGGATGCCAATCACTAACATCCATCGACGTCTTGGACGATGGGCAGAATTTTTCGAAGGGCAGTTCAACTGGCCTGCTGCTCCGGCAACATCGGTCAGACTGTCCTGCCCTCCATGGCCGGTGACGACTGATCCACCAAACGAGGAGGAAGTCCGCAAGGAACTCCAACTCTTGAAGCGTTACAAATCACCTGGCCCAGATGACTTACCTCCGGCTCTTTTTAAAGATGGTGGTGACTTTTTGACTAAGGAATTGACGACGTTGTTTACAAAGGTTTGGGAACTAGAGAGTGTACCAACGTCATGGAATGAGTCGATAGTTGTCCCTATCTTTAAAAAGGGTTCACGTCGTTCCTGTAACAACTATCGGGGGATAAGTCTACTTCCGATTGCGTCCAAGCTATTGGCTTCCGTCATATTTCGTAGGTTGTTCAAAACCCGAGAAAGATTGACTCGCGAGGAGCAGGCTGGGTTTCGTTCTGGTCGAGGATGTATTGATCATATCTTCACCCTCCGCCAAATGTTAGAACACCGCCATACTCATCAAAGGCCAACAATCGTAGTGTTTCTTGACATCAGGGCTGCCTTCGATTCGTTGGACAGGACTGTTCTCTGGGATTGTCTATTGAAGAAGGGTGTGCCTGAGAAGTTTATTAACATCCTAAAAGCCCTATATAAAAACACCTCAGGCAGAGTGAGGGCATACAACCACCTCTCTCCATTGTTCCATTCGAGCAGTGGGGTTAGGCAGGGTTGCCCAATCTCACCATTCCTCTTCAACTTTGCCATCGATGACATTCTGGAAACAGCTCTGATGAATGTAAGTAATGGTGGTGTGGATCTGTTGCCTGGAGAAAGACTTCTCGACCTTGAGTATGCGGACGATATTGTCTTACTGTGCGATAATGCCCAAGGCATGCAATCCGCACTTAATCAGTTGGCAATCAGTGTCCGTAGGTATGGTATGTGCTTTGCACCTTCGAAGTGCAAAGTACTTCTACAAGACTGGCAGGATTCTAATCCTGTACTCACCCTGGATGGTGAGCAGATAGACGTAGTTGAGAAGTTCGTGTATCTGGGTAGCTGCATAAGTGCTGGTGGGGGTGTGAGTGATGAGATCAATGCACGAATAGTGAAAGCCAGAGCGGCTTATGCCAATCTGGGCCACCTTTGGCGCCTTCGTGATGTTAGTCTGGCTGTAAAAGGTCGGATCTACAACGCGTCGGTGAGAGCAGTTTTGCTCTATGCTTGTGAAACCTGGCCTCTCCGAGTTGAGGACGTTAGACGACTCTCTGTGTTCGATCATCGCTGTCTCCGAAGGATTGCTGACATTCAGTGGCAACACCATGTCAGTAATGCAGAGGTTCGGCATCGTGTGTTCGGGCACAGAGATGATAATTCAATTGGTGTCACCATCTTGAAACACCGACTTCGGTGGCTTGGACATGTTCTCCGAATGTCGTCCCAGAGAATTCCACGTCGTGCATTATTTGCCGACTCTGGGACTGGTTGGAAGAAGCGGAGAGGTGGTCAGTGCATGACATGGTGTCGTGGCATGAAAGAAAGCTGCAAAGGACTGGCTTGTGTTGGTCCTTCACGACTCCCTGGTTGGGGTCTGAGAGATGGTGCTACACAGTGGCTAGAGACGTTATCAGATATGGCTCAGAATAGAAGCCAGTGGCGATCCTGCTGTAACCTTCTTTTACTTTCTTCATAAAAAGTGGTTGTGTCTCCCTTACCTGAAAGATTTCTTCTGATTGTACCTTTCCGTTCCTTCGTTACTACCACACTACCTTACACCAATCTCTTCGTTATTGTTCTCTTTTTTTTTGCGCTCCTTAGTTTTTTTTTCTATTTCTCTTCGAATTCTCATTGTTTTGTGTGGCGCATATATATTGGCGCTCTCTTGTACCAATATTCATGTGTTCAAATAAATAAATAAACTAAATAAACCGTATAAAACTTCAACTGAAACACTAGTTGGAATTCTTTCTCCCCGTGGTTATACCTTTGTTCCTGCAGTAAACCTGCTGATGCAAATGCCTTTGGAAATCAACTCATACGGACAGCATCCTCACATAAACGTTAACCGACTTTCTAACTTAAACCAAAGATGATACCAATATCAAAATTTTTGCAACTTTGATTGTTTTTTATCACTAAGCTCAAAATACTTATACTACCCACAAGTAAAGCAATTAACCAATGGTTATTACTATGTATCTTAATGAAACTTGTTAAAATATCTGGATACTGAGTCATTCTTCATTATTATAATCCCACTTTACTTGTTGTGTAAATAATGTTCATGTAGATTTTCATTGTAAGCGTGTTAAGCATAAACTCAAACATTCTGGAATTATTACATGTATTTCCCGATCAGTTGCTGCCACCTTTTAAACACACAATAGGGATATTTTAGAGTAGCTTATTCAATTGATCAAGTGGAAATGTGACACTGATTCATGTAATTAATTGCTGCTATATATATGCTTTTTTGATGTTCATGTTTTATAAGAAATATTTGTCATAATCCCGAGGTAGTACTGTCTAATTTTGGTTACTAAGACACAGACGCGTTCTGTATTTTTAATATACCATCTACCTATTCATATCTAATTTATTCTAGTTTACTTGACCCATTTTCTGTTTTTGCTCTTGTGAAGTGCTGTAGCCTGGTGGATAGCAGTTTCGCTCCCGGTTTTACACTATTGTTTTTCATCTTCATAAAATAAATGTGAATGTATAGATGAAATCATTTACAACCTTTGAAATACAAATTTATAAAGCCAGAACAGCATGTGTGTATGCTGCTGGATATTTATATAATATGCAGTGTACAGTACTATTTTAACCATACGATCTGTCATTTATACTCTTTATTGAAATATCCTATTCTTATTTGATTTCCTGGTTCAGTCAAGTTAGATTATTAATTTATAAAAAGTGTTCTTCAGTACATAATTTATGCTTAATTCTTTGCGGTTTGGTTATGTTTTTCAGATTTTTTTCTGACTGTGACTCATATTCCGGTGAAAATCTTCATGATTATTGGAACTGTGACTCCAAAAACTCCTATAACATCTGTCGTAGATAGCTGTCAGACGCCTAGCCTAACGACATCGTCGGTTCCTGTATCTTCAGGTTCTGAGAATACTAGTGGTGTGCTTCTTAGCAATTTATGGACTCAGCTTGACCACATTCAATCTACAGTAAGTGGTTTTTATTAACAATGTGTCTCAATCAAAGTATATTAATTTTGTACACAGATGTGGGAAATTTCCTTAACGAATTTAAGCTTTCTTTATAAACGAAAATGAGTTGTTCTCTACACATGGTCGTTATAATAATTTTTCAGAACAATGATTGTAGTTTATAAATGTTTTTCTTGTCGGCTGCATACATATTTGGGTTAAGTATCGTTCTCATGTAAATTAATTGTACATATAAACTATTCTCTTTGTCCTGTCTTCATCATGCAGTTATAATCTATTATTCTCGCCACATATCAGATTAGTATTGGCAAAAATACCTCAATTTAACATGCGTTTTCGTGCTTTTATTTGGTTTATTGACTAGATACTCAGTAGATATTATTAGACATAAAATTAATAGTGATACATACAACTTTCACTTTCTAGGTTGAAAACTGCACTCTAAATGAAACCAAATCGTATGTTGCTTCAGTTAATGCTAGTATTTATATGCAAATCTCATGATAAGATTAATAAATAATAACTAATAAAATCCGACTTGTGTTTTTTATGAATGGAAATGTACAATCTCGTCACACTAATAATGTCAAGTAAATGGCTTTTAGAACTCTATTGTACCTAACAGCTATGACTATGTGATGTTAAAACATTTTAGGTAAAGTTAATACCTTGTACTATCGTTAATGGACAGTTACATCAATTGTAATATCATTAAAGCTCATAAGCTTGGTTGACCTTATTTCTTCAACTTTGAATAATTCTGGTTATGGTTTCCAACATCCTATATATACCATTTTTTTATTCCCTGTCGATTTCCAGATTCCGGACAGATTATCGGTTGCTATGTTAGAGAGTGCTGGTGTGCAAATGGAAAACAGCGACCCACGACTTGCCCGTTTAATCAGTCTAGCTGGTCAAAAATTTCTGACTGATATCCTTTCTGATGCTATGCTTCATTGGCGCCTTGCAAATGGACAACCTACTGGGCTGCTAAACCATCCTAGTGTGTCCACATCTATACCAGGTCAAGCATCTAATCCGTCCTCAATAAATCCTATTACAACACCAACGAGCAACCCAAGTCAGTCTATTCCACAATCGCCATCATCTAGTAAGTATAGCTCAATCTACTTGTGATTTGTTATAACAGTGTTACATTCACAAAGTCTCTTCCGTATAGACTAAAAACACAAAAGAGCGTTGGAAATTGTAGATCTATACAAGATAATTAGGCAAGTCCAACCTATGGCTGCTTAAGGTGACTGAATAATTCTGTCCGCTTATCCAATTCAATTTATATCCTAATCGATTTTCGTTCCAGTCTTCTGTTATATGGGTTAATTTTGAGTGTTTGATAAGTAACGAATGCCCTGGTACGGCCGAGAGTGGGGAGAGTCCGCTCACCCTCTCGAAATACTCTCACACGGCTGCGCGTATACAGCCTCTGCCAGGGAAGTCCTACTCATTGCCTTCTCGTGGCGGGGTGTTGTTTACGAAAATGAGAGGACGAAAAGCGAATGTCCGGCGCTTTAACCGGATCACAAACCAATGGTGCACATGGGCTCCAGTATCCTGCGGGAACAAATGGCGTATGAACCAATCGTCGGTCACCGGCTACCATGGGATTGCATCTTCTTACGATGCTCCACTGCCTTGTGGGTTAGACCTTTGGGTCGAAGGCTCTGGGTGTGGCCCCCTAAGATAACCACCTGCTTCGGTTTGGGCACCCGGTCAGTATCACAGCCCACACACAAATGATGAACTCTCTATGTCTATGAAAATTACTTTTCTCGCTTCGAAAAACAATCAATTGATTCAAATTATTATCATTACAATTATTGTCGTTATTAATACTATTATTATTATTATTATTATTATTATTATTATTATTATTATTATTATTATTATTTTCCACCAAAGTGAGAAGAAATCGGCGTGAGAAACGATGTCTTTTCGTCATCTCCGCCTATGCCCCGACAGATCGCAGCCCGGATGTAATCAAGGATGAGTTTTACCACCAGTTATCTGTTCTTCTCCAGAAAGTGCGTTCGACAGATATTGTAGTACTAGCCGGAGACTTGAATGCTCAGGTCGGACGTCTAGGCACAGAAGAGAGTCGTTTAGGTGGCCGATGGGGACTCGTTGGTCGCAGGACAGATAACGGTGACCATCTACTGCAACTTTGCACAGACCACAACCTGTTTCTGGCTGGCACTAACTTTCGGCACAGTCATCGCCGATGTGCCACCTGGCGTCCTCCCTCTCCACCTCAAGCCTGGACTCAGGTTAATCACATCGCGATCAGCTACCGCTGGCGTGGTTGTGTACAAGACTGCCGCTCCTTTTGGAGTACCTATCTGGACTCTGACCATGCCTTGGTCTGCGCCAATCTTACCTTACTTTTCAGTGGCCAACGAAGTGACCGCCACCAACAAATTTATGTTAGCAAGCTGGTTGCAACTTCTGTTGCAAGTAAGTATCGAACCGAGCTAGCCTCTAGGCTAGCTACCACTCCACCGAAAAGTATAGATGAGCATTGGTTGCAATTGCATGACGCCATGAAAATGGCGGGTACAGTCAGTTGTGGGTTCGCGAAACGTCCCGCTTTTAAGCACTGGGTTTCTCCAGGTTCCTTACAACTCATTGAAGCCCGTCGGTCTACTCCGGGTGACCGTGAGTTTGACCATAAACGAAGGATGTTACGTAATGAAATTGGGCAAAGCTTGCGTAAGGACCGAGAAGCCTGGTGGTCGAAGCGTGCTAATGAGCTGGAAGCAGCAGCTGCATCTGGTAACTACCGGAAGCTCTTCCAACTCATCCGAGCCACTGGCAGCAAGAAGTCTGGTGTGAGTGAAACAATCTGCGAGGATGATGGGATGCCAATCACTAACATCCATCGACGTCTTGGAGGATGGGCAGAATTTTTCGAAGGGCAGTTCAACTGGCCTGCTGCTCCAGTCAGTCAGTTGGTCAGTAACAACGTAGAACTTTGTACGTACGTACATCAGTTCGAGTTGACACACCACATTAGCACAGAGATGCAGTGGTCGATTCAAATCCCTTAGTGGTAGAGGTATTAAGAGTATAAGCAGTAATCGGGAAGATTAGGGTTTGGAGATGTTACTTAAAGAGTATAATACCGTGAAATAAATTTGAGAGGAGAAAAATAAGAGACAAGGAGGAATAAGGAGATCAAAATTTGGGAGAACACAAAGAGTGTATGCACCTGCGCCATTGCAAACGATTTTGAGCCATGTCGTTCAGGGTCTCTAACCATCGGTTGCTATCATCTCGCGGTCCCCAACCAGGTAGTCTACACCTACCAACATGACTCAGTTCACTTGTCAGTGACTTCATGGACTTGTGCCATGTTTTGGTTTGGCCGCCCCTAGCTTTCTTCCAACTTACTCCTATACCACTGAACATAGCACATCGAGGCAGTCGGTCGTTGGGCATACGTAACACGTGTCCCAGCCATCTCAACTGATGAAGTTTCACTACTTCATCCATTGATTTTCCATCCTTACCTAGTACCCGTTTCCTAACAACTGTGTTACTTACTCGATGGTCCCATGATATACGAGCAATGTTTGGAAGACACCTATGATCAAATACTAGTAACCTACGAATATCCTCTATTCTTACCGGCCATGTTTCACTGCCATAAAGTAGGACGGGACGAACTGCTGCGCAGTAAACACGTCCTTTGGTTGATAGACGGATATCTCACCTACATTAACTTGCTATTCAGGTTGACCGGAGATCGTGGGAAACCGAAGTGTGGCTGAAGGCCAGTTGAACTGATCCCTAAAGTGTTCTGCCCATCGATCCAATCTCCTGGATTGAGAATGAATAATATGTCCATCTTTCTCTGAGATTGTTTCGCTAACAGTCGGTTTCCTAATTCCGGTTTCCTTAACGAGTCTGAACAATTGTCTGCTATTACCTATTGCCGCTGCCTTTTCCATCTCTCTTGCTTTCGCTACCCACCACTGTTCACGATCATTGCGTAGACTTCTTGTCAGCTTGCGCTTAAGCTGACTCCGCTCTTCATTATGTTCAGAGCCAGGTGGAATGAGTTTCCGAGCATCTATCAGTGAGATAGATGCTGCTGAGATCCAGTGTTGCTCCCTAACCTTCTGGTTTACCTTACTAGCAGATATCACTGCTGTTTCCACAGCTTTTCGGATATCATTCCATGCTGCATCGGGGTGGGCATCACATACATGGCTGCCTAACTGTTTTCCTAGTTGTTCCTGAAATATACTCTTAGCTTGACTATCATTAAGTAGGCCCTAAGAGGTTTCCTTGCAGCGTCTTTCCTACGTCCAGTAAGACGCAAGCAAATACGCGCTCGCACTAGAGCATGATCTGAATCTAGGCATGTGCTCCAGAATGAGCGACAGTCTTCTATCGAGCCCCTCCATCGGTGGCTGATAGCGATGTGATCTATTTGGGTCCAACGTTGGGACGAATTAGGGGGTCGCCATGTTAAAAGATGTTTTTCCTTATGCTTAAAGTTAGTATTTGCAAGGAACAGGCGGTTATCTGAGCATAGCTGCAACAGACGGTCGCCATTATCTGTTCTTTGAGCCACGACACCATAAGATCCACCTAGGTGTCTTTCCCTATCGCTTAGTTTACCTACTTGAGCATTAAAGTCACCGGCCACTATTACTACATCCGAGCGCTTAGCTTTTCGGAGAAGGTCCGAAAGCTTTCTGTAAAACTCATCTTTTACATCATCTGAGCTGCAGTCAGTGGGAGAATAGGCAGAGACGACGAAGAGGCAACGACGAGTGTCCCTATCTTTCCGGATTCTTACTGTTCCGTTCAGTCGGACAGCGCACAAACGACTGTCTACTGGGATCCACTCTAAGAGAGCTAGTTCTGCCCTAGGACTCAATGCTATACCTACGCCGGCGAGGCCACGGGAAGCAGAATCAGGGCTTCCAGATACACGAAGCGTAAATCGAGTCGGTTCTTTATTTTGGCATGGTGAGGTCAAATGAATGACGCTACTTGGATCCTGTATGCGCGTTTCGGAGACGCAGCACACATCGATGGCGCGAGATTCTAAAGTTTTAGCTAAGGAAGCCTGCTGTCCTATTTGGCAAAGTGTTCGTACGTTAAAAGCTCCTACGTGTAGTTTAGAGCGTGGTTTCAGGAGACCAGGAATGGCGTTCCACGTACTCGAATCGTTTGCCCTAGCGGTGCGAGGTGATAAAGAGACGTGAGGAGGGTTAGTCATGGAGATAAGAGAGGTATTAGGAGGTGTAGGAAGGATTTGAATGTGACCACCTTGGTCTCTTGTGCTGTTACGGGTATGAGGGCTGATGTCACTTCCCGGCTGCCCACACCGTGGAAGGGTATTTCTTGAGGAACCTGAAAAGGAAATTGGATTAGTGTTGGTCTTGACGACCTGGGAGCGTGACCGCAGAGCCCAAGGGACAACTGCTTGAGGCCGGTCGCGCACGGCCTTTTTGTGGAAGGTTTTTGACGTGTTAGCTCCGTTCTTCAAAGGGCCTTACCGCCGGAGACGGAAATCCGTGAGGTAAGGTGAGGTGTGACATTTTTAGGGTCGACCTTTTCTAACCCCACCCCTCCTTGTGGGAAGGCAGCATCGCTGTCATGCTGGTTGTCCGAGGGAAACACCTTACTGCTGTCACACCCCTCTACAGTCAGCAGTACGACTTCGCCCTCAGACCTTGAGTTGCTGCTTTTAGTCTTACCGTTCACCAATCGACCTGCCTGGCATGGTAGAACCTACAGGAACATATGTTCCAGCCAATATAGCTCGGTTGGGTCATCACGATAGGCAAGCCCGACCACCGCGTCAAGGTAGCAGCTTCGGTCGGGATGCTGCTCCGGTAACATCGGTCAGACTGTCCTGCCCTCTATGGCCGGTGACGACTGACCCACCAAACGAGAAGTCCGCCCTGGATGGTGAGCAGGTAGACGTAGTTGAGAAGTTCGTGTATCTGGGTAGCTGCATAAGTGCTGGTGGGGGTGTGAGTGATGAGATCAATGCACGAATAGTGAAAGCCAGAGCGGCCTATGCCAATCTGGGCCACCTTTGGCGCCTTCGTGATGTTAGTCTGGCTGTAAAAGGTCGGATCTACAACGCGTCGGTGAGAGCAGTTTTGCTCTATGCTTGTGAAACCTGGTCTCTCCGAGTTGAGGACGTTCGACGACTCTCTGTGTTCGATCATCACTGTCTCCGAAGGATTGCTGACATTCAGTGGCAACACCATGTCAGTAATGCAGAGGTTCGACATCGTGTGTTTGGTCACAGAGATGATAATTCAATTGGTGTCACCATCTTAAAACACCGACTTCGGTGGCTTGGACATGTTCTACGAATGTCGTCCCAGAGAATTCCACGTCGTGCATTATTTGCCGACTCTGGGACTGGTTGGAAGAAGCGGAGAGGTGGTCAGTGCATGACATGGTGTCGTGGGATGAAAGAAAGCTGCAAAGGACTGGCTTCTGTCGGTCCTTCACGACTCCGTGGTTGGGGTCTGAGAGATGGTGCTACACAGTGGCTAGAGACGTTACCAGATATGGCTCAGAATAGAAGCCAGTGGCGATCCTGCTGTAACCTTCTTTTACTTTCTTCATAAAAAGTGGTTGTGTCTCCCTTACCTGAAAGATTTCTTCTGATTGTACCTTTCCGTTCCTTCATTTCTACCATACTACCTTACACCAATCTCTTCGTTATTGTTCTCTTTTTTTCGCGCTCCTTAGTTTTTTTTTCTATTTCTCTTCGAATTCTCATTGTTTTGTGTGGCGCATATATATTGGCGCTCTCTTGTACCAATATTCATGTGTTCAAATAAATAAATAAAACGTTCAGTTTTGGATTTCTAAAATAAGTAAACAGAATACAAATCAATAAATGATCCAATGTGGTCAAATGGTAACAGACTTCTTTTGGTAATCATGGAGGGGTTTTGTGGAAATCTAGTAATTTAATAGTTGTAAAAACCATACATTAAATACTTCATTTGCAAATTTCCACCATATATCGTTCACATTCTGTATGATTCCTCCAATTCACAATTTCTTTCTATTTCCATTTCTGTTCTCTTCAGCTTGATCTTCTTAGCTTTCTGCTGCCAGGTTTTCCATTTCCGACCTGTGTTACATACTACTTATGTCTGTCGACATAAGTAGCATACATCACAGTATAATAAAATGGTTTTGATTGTCTGTTTTTATAGCTTCATCCCAAACAAGGTTCTCGTTGAAGAATAATGTATTGATAGTGATATTTGTTTTCCTCTTGTATTATAATATACAAACCAGTCTGTTTGCTTTTTAAATGTAAAACATGGGTAATACTAATACTATTAAATTTTGTTTTAAATTCGCACCATTTATGTCGACAGTTACAGAGGAATCAATTTCACCAATACAGTGCCTAGAATATTAGCCCCAATAATGATTCGACATCTAACTAGAACACGTGAAGAGTGAACTCGAGAAAAAACAGACTGGTTTCAGACATGGACGTGGATGTATAAATGCATAGACCAACTTTTCACCCTTCGGCATATTCTGGAACATAAACATCCCTTTCGACATCTAATAATGGTTGTATTTCTTGAATTTAAGAAGGCTTTCGAATTTGTTGATCGTGAGGTTCTGTGGTAGTGTTTGCCATTGAAAGGCGTACGAAGGAAGCACATTAAGCTTATACAGGGTCTCTACTCATATCATACTGGTCGGGTCAAAGCTTATGGTGAATTGTCATCAGAATTGGCTGTTTCATGTGGTGTTTTTCAAGGTTGTCCACTTTCCCACTCACTTAATTTTTCCATAGATGGACATGCTTTTAGAAACAACGCCCATAGTCTGACTTTTCAGGAGTTGATCTTCTACCAGGAGATTCACTTGCTGATTTAGAATACCTAGATGGTATAGTTCTGTTTGATGAAGATGCTAACAAAACGCAGTCTTTTGACCACATTTAGCAACAATGCAAGCATGTGTGGGATGTGATTCTCTCGCCTTAAATGTAAAATTTTACTTCTGAATTGGCTTGTGTCATCGCCTGAATTAATGATAGGGATTAAAGTAGTTGGACGTATTGACCGCTCCATTTATCTTGAGTCCCATCAGTCTAGATGGTCTGGTGTCTGATGAAATCTCTATGCGGATTCAGAAGGCTTGACTGACTTTTGCCAACTTGTGTCACTCGTGACTTAGGCGAGATATCCGTCTTCTAACGAAAGGGCGAGCTTACTGCGCATCGGTTCGCTCCACCCTACTTTATGGGTGTGAAACATGAGTACTAAGAATAGAGAATATTCGTAGGTTACTAGTGTCCGATGATAGATGTCTCCAAAGGATTGCTTGAGTATTTTAGGAGCACTGAGAAAGCAATGCCTGGATTAGGAAAAGGATGCTAGGAAAGGATGAAAAATCTATTGATAAGGTGGTAAATCTTCATCAACTGAGGTGGTTGCGAGATGTGTTACGTACCCCCAACCACCGCCTACCTTAACAGGCGATATTGTGTGGTGTAGAATTAGTCCGGGAGAAAGCTAGGGGCGGCCAAACAAAAATACAACATTAGTCCATAAAGTCATTGACTGTTGGATTGAGCCATACTCGATAGGTGAAGACTACTTGGTTAAGGTCTGTGTGATTATCGTAACCAGTTGTTAGAGACTTGCACGACATGGTTCAAAATGATTCTCTGTGGTTCAGGTTCATCTAACCTTTGTTTTACCTTGCATAGTAATTAATAATTTTAATTATGGTAATTCATTTTATTTTTGCTTCACTCTCATACACTTATTTCCACTAATTTTTTTTCATTATACTCTACTGTCTTTGCAGCCTTATTTTTATTATGTTGCGTAGATATGTTTTGGTGCCGCATTTTACAATTTTTTGTGCTTAAATACATAAACTATTCATTTAAACATCACTTGAGTTTAGCCTGCTTTTAATCTTATAGTAAATGATTGAAAAGCAGTTGTGAATTTCGTGTCTGTATGTAAGTTATCGCGAGTATTAAAGAATATGCAGTTGACAAATTCTGGATTCATGTTGCCTATCTCAAAGTGTTTTATATCAATCTAGGCCGACTTAGATTTTATGTCCCACTTTCTATGCATTTACAGTCGTGCAACTCACAAATCTTAGTTATGTTTCTACGGATACTGCTAAATAACTTTTTGTTAAGTCAACTTTGTTTTTGTTATGCATCTCTCCTTTGATAAGTGTTGTGCAAGGTATACTATAGTTAGAATTCATATGTTTTCGTCTATTAAAGTGTCGGTGTTTTAAACAACACATACATTATTCGACAAATCATTAGTTATCTCGGTTTGGATAAATCATTATTATCCCATCCTTATATGATCAATATCGTTCAAAGACCATTGCATTATGGTCTACACTTGATTACTAACGTGCCATTATTTCGATTAAATTTCTCAGTAGTTGTTTGTATAGTTAAATAAGGAAAACTTTTTCCCCTTGAAATCTGGAATATTTCAATTCCGGTTGTTTAGAAAAAAGGCTCTAAATGCCCTGGTACGGCCGAGAGTGGGGAGAGTCCGCTCACCCTCTCGGAATGCTCTCACATGGCCACACGTATTATAGCCTCTGCCGGGGAAGTCCTACTCACTGCCTTCTCGTAGCATCACTGTTGTTTACGAAATTGAGAGGACGAAAAGCGAATGTCCGGCGCCTTAATCAGGTTGGTGGACACGGAGAGTCCACCTAGGGGGGCTGGAAAATCCTGATTCCAAACCAATGGTGCACATGAGCTCCAGTATCCTGCGGGAACAAATGGCGTATGAACCAATCGTTGGTCACTGGCTACCACGGGACTGCATCTCCTTACGACGCTCCACTGCCTTGTGGGTTAGACCTTTGGGTCGAAGGCTCCGGGTGTGGCCCCCTAAGAAAACCACCTGCTTCGGTTTGGGCACCCGAGCAGTATCACAACACTCACACAATTCAAATAAGATTTGTGTGGCGCATATTTATTTGGTGCCTCTTTGTACCAATGTCTATGTGTTCAAATTATAATAATAATTAGAAAAAAACGAGTAACTTAGATCTCCTCCTACGAGCTAAGCGATAATAATGTTATAGTTCTTTATCTCGTTTGTAATTTTTAATTCATATAAATGTATCTAATCGTACCTTTGGTTTCACTGATTTAATTTCAAAAATAAAAACAATTTTCGACCAGTTATTTAAATCAACTATATCGAATTTCGTTCTTAGTGTTAAAATCATCCTATTACACTTTGTGTCAATTCCTATGATCTTTATAATATGTTGTTTTCTAGGTGGAAAACCTGGGACCAATAAATTTCCCACAGATCGTCGCGCCACTCTTACACTGGAAGATTTAATTGCTTCATTGAATGATAGGGGTATTCATGTTGCCAAACCGCCTTATTATCGGTAGATTGTATACTCAATAAGTATTGTAAATTTTCTTTCACTTTTGTTCTTTCTTTTACTTTTCTGTTTGATTCAATTTTACTAAAATGTTTAACAAACATTTTAATGTTCTTTGATACAAAGCCAAATCTACCTATTCCTTTTTTTCACCAAGAATCAATTTTAACATAAACATTTTAGTTCACTTTAATGTTGCCTTGAAACGATTGAATAAAAACATACATTTATTGCAATTAGTGAGGATTTGTGTTTTTCCGTTGTTTGATATTCAAGACTTAGCTCATTCAGTCTATTAGATGGTGAATTCTTTGAGCGAATGCCTGTAGTTACAAGTTTATTATATATATTTCTTTCATTTGTTCTGGGTTTGAGTTCCGAATAGACTTAATAATGCATTTTGGATCCTACTGGTGTCCACTATACAAAAATATCAAATAATACGCTGTTATCTTTCAGTGATTTGTACTCGAAAGTACTATATTTCTTATGATTAATAAATTAATTAATACTGAAATTGTAAGTTGTTAGTGGTTATCATAGATGCTTACTGTAAGTGAGTTAACGACATATGTATTAGAGCCATATAGTTGTTTACAGTTTTCCACAACGCAATGTCCTAACCACTAGACCACAGCACTAAGCAACAATGCCACAATGTTTGGAATGCGCTTCTCTCCCTCTAAATGCAAGCTATTGCTTCAGGACTGGCCTGCGTCAACACCTGAACTAAGGATAGGGAATGAAGTAGTCGAACGCGTCGACAACTTCACTTATCTTGGAAGTATGATCAGCCCTAATGGGTTGGTATCGGACGAAATCTCAGCACGGATTCGAAAAGCTCGTTTGGCTTTTGCCAACTTACGTCACCTTTGGCGAAGGCGAGATATCCGTCTGTCAATAAAAGGACGAGTATGCTGCGCGGCAGTCCGTTTCTGTTTTACTTTACGGCAGCGAAACATGGCCTTTAAGAGTAGAAGACACGCGTAAGCTACTAGTATTTGACCACAGATGCCTTAGAAATATTGCTGGCGTCTGTTGGGATCACCGGGTAAGAAATAGTGAGGTTAGACGCGGAGTATTAGGGAATGATGGTAAATCAGTTGATGAGGTTTTGAACCTTCATCGACTGAGATGGTTGGGCCACGTATTACGTATGCCTGAACACCGATTACCACGACGTGCAATGCTATCCGGTATTGGAGATGGTTGGAAGAAAGTTAGGGGTGGCCAAACAAAAACGTGGCATCAGTGCTTGAGGACACTAACTTCTAGTCTGAGCCATGTTGGTAGATACAGACTACTTGGTTGGGGTACGCGTGACTATCGTAACTAATGGTTGGAGACTCTTGGTGACATGGCTCAGAATCGATCACAATGGCGTCGGTGTATACACTCTCTGTCTTCCCTTAAACTAAGAGATTAAAATCACTTCATATCTTTCTTTCTACTAACTAATTCTTTCTTCCTGTACTGTATCCTTATATGCAATCTTTCTCCCATATATTACCACCTTTGACCTAACCACTCCTATGAATCCGGTGTTCATCTTGCTGTGCTAATGCGGTATGGCAACCTGGACCGGTGCATATATGTGCCTGGTCCTACGTTGTAGCTGACTGACTTACACTTTTCCTAAATAGATTAAAGAGATTTAATACAAGCCCAGTTTTAACTACATCTATTTTTCTCATTCACTATATATTGGATGCATGAATCCTAGTCTAACCTCCTATTGTTTCTTCAAAAGATAGACTAGGAGGAAAACATATCGTGAACTGTAGTGTTTACGTTTGAATTTTCTAGTGTTTACCATCACGATAAGTTGTAAGCTGTTCACAAAGCGTGTGCATGGATACGGTCTAAATTCATGGTTACTCAGTCACGGTGAATCTGAAACAGGAAGGCTTATTCCCGAAACTCTCCAACGTTTGACCGAACAGTTAGTTGTACTATCGTTTTTATTTAAAGACAATCAACGTTTAAAGATTTCCATAATTGCAAGCAGCATAGGAAGTGTGCAAGAAGTTTTTTAGTGAATGTAGAATAATTTAGTTTAGCATGCTCAAGATTGAAGTCGTATATTCTTAATAGAAGCTTTGCGAATCACTATCGATGGTTCTCTGTGAGACTCATCTATGCAATCTAAACTGCAGTTATTAGGTGTCTAGTTATACAGTGTGAGTATGTATTAACTTGCCTCGGTACTTCCTAATTCTTATGATTTGATCCAACAGTTTTACCACTGACTCTACTTCTAATTCTCAGTGAGGATATATATAAAGTATTATATAATCTCATTGAGCTCTATGGAATTGTCATATTCTGTTTACCTTTGAACTTAGTCATTGTACTAGAGTACAGTTACAGATAAGAATCTGTTACAAATATGATACATTTTTATACAGTAGTAGCACTGTCTGTCTGCTTAATGTCTTCTTAGATAAACTACATTGAGTTACACCGTACATCATGGTAATTGTGTAACTATCTCTAGAGTTTTGTCATCAGATGATTGTATGCACTTAGGGTACATCCTTATCTTAATGCTGTATAATTTGTATCGTTAAAATCATCTGAGGTTCCGCCAGTAAAACTATTCATATTTAAAAATGAGGTGGAATGGATTGGATTTTGGTAGAATTATGATTTAAGTAACACATGAAACAAATGTGTTGAGTAGTAGGCGGCTACACTGCGCTATTTAAATGAATGATTCAATAACTGCGATAATTGTACAATTCTGTACTATTTTCTGGCTTCAAGTCTCCTACAGTTAACAAGAGAAACACTGAAAAATAAATTTTTCGTTGGGTGGAAAATGTTGTGGCAGCTATGTGCCTCATCGAAAATTAGTCACTAAGATTGTGATTTTTAGGAGCTCAAGTGTGTTTTCGCGCGTATTTTTTAATGTTAATGATGGTTTGTCCAAAAGTCCACTTTTCACTTGATCATGGCGTTGTTTCTCCCAGGAAAACTTATCTACATTTCATAAATTATCCTAATAAAAAATTTGATCATTTCACCTTTTTTTAATTTTAACTTTATTCATTTGGGTATTGTTGTTCAGAAGTAAATGTGGTTCTGAAAATTCTAGTTTCTAATGGTCAAATGTATTTAAAAGGAATTTATATACAAGAGTTTTGAGAACTAACTTAATGAAATAAAATTTTAGTCAAACTAATTTAAAAGCAAATGTACAATGACATTAATCAATATTATTGCAATATGAAATTGAGTAACAAATAAACTGGAAAATAAATTATTTGTTTAGGCTATAAATGAGTGAACACAGGAATGTAATAAAATATTCGGAATTTAAGCCCAAGTGCATATTTTCTCTTTTCTATCACAATCATAAGTAACATCATGTGACAACAACTTGTCGTATACCCGTTAATATAAAGGTTTCAAAGCATGTACATGGAAAAACAAGTGCAAGGCTTATTATCTTCATTTTTAAACCTATTCTTTACAATTTCAAACTAAATGTTTCTTGTGTATTCAGTGGTCACTTACCTGACGTTCAAAAATCATTCAAATTAATCAGTAAGCAAGTACGTCCAAACTCAGCTTTGTTAAAGGTATCTCTATCACAAGATATAAACCTGATTTATACATTAAAAGGAATACTGTGAGTCTTGTATTAACCTAGTGATCTTAGTTTTTAGTGTCCAGTTGCTTAAAATTTTGATCTATATCTTCATTTATATGATTTAATTGGAAGTCGTTTTTCATTTAAACTACTATTTGCTCGTTTATCTTTATCGGTCAGTTTAATCTTTCGTTTAGAACTACTCAGTGTATGACACAAGTTTCTCGTGTCCGGAAACTTATGTGGTTAAATAATCGAATTCGTCAAAACAGGCGACTAAGTTATCAGTTCCATTCACTCTGTCTAACTGATGGTTTATGTTTTTTTAAGTGATGGTGACCTAACCTGTTGTATGTTCTGGTAAGGGCAATGGGACATTGCATCACACTGTTTTTGCGTGCTATTTTCAAATAGAGTTGTATGCTATTTGTGTGTATCTCGCCCCGTCAAATAAAGTTAAGCTGTTCGACTTTCAGGCACCGATTTCTAGGTTGAAATCCCGCTACACCTACTTCAGATTCGGCAACCGAGCAATATCACTAGCCCCCACATATATAGTGTAGCTTATACGCAAGTAGCTAGTAAATGGGTGAATTTAGTTATTTATGCTCAAGTGAAAGTAATATGGTTGTTTTAACACCATGCATTAATTTCGTTTCGTCTTAACTTTCTTTTTATGATTATTATTGTTGTCATTAGTAAATGAAGGAAACACCAAAAACATACATTAAAATATGAATATCAATGTTGTTAGAAGAGAAGGCTCATTATATATATATATATATATATATATATATATATATATATATATCCTGAATAAAACCTCATAATATCTTATAATAAAGCGGTTAAGAACAATCACTCTACGTTATGTATTATAATTAAAAGTAAAAACTTTAAGTAAAATAATGATCGTAATGAAAATAATGTGGAAAAATTACTTTTTCTTCTCATTGTTTCTTTTTGTGACATACTAAAAGTAAAATTGTTCTACTTTTTACTATCTGTGTTCTTTGACAAGGAAGATAATGGTTTTCTGATAAGATTAGGTGATGCATTCGCACTTGTTGAACTTACATACTTTGTTTTAGTATTCGTTAAAATATTTGTCTGTCCAAAATTCGGTCCAGTCATTGTAGGTGACCTTTGTGAACCACTTATGTATTGTTTAACTGTTGGTTTTTGTAATAGTCTAGGGCTTGGCGGTAAAGATTTGTTCTTCTGGATTGTGGTGTTCGTATAAGACGACGGTTTCAAACGCGAATGAATTTTTATACTTTCTAGGGACTTTTGAATGGAGAGTGGTGAATTGATCACTGAAGAAGCACGAGATGTAGTTCCTTCATTTGTCGATGAAGTAACAGTTTTCGAAAAATCCTCAGACAAAATCGAATTACCATTTGACGATATATTTTCGGAATATCCTGCATCAACAAAAACAATGGATGTAGAATCAGATCCCAATATAGCCATATCACGTAAAACAGCCACATTATTTTCGTTACCTAGAATGGCGGAAGGACCAACGTACGAGTTATTACTATCAGGTAATAAACTGTTTAACATCTCTGAGGTAGTTCCTAACAATGGATTTATGTGACTCGGAACAATTGTCGACTCGGAGTTCGGTGCACTGTCCACTTCATTGATTTCATCGTTGAGATCAGTGGGATTTGTGTTGTCAGGAGAGGTGTGGAATTGGTTGTTTAGATGCTCTGTGTCAATGTGGTCAGTCAGATTATCTGATGTTTGTGACAACTCGACAACAGGTGGTTGATCAGTCATTGGATCTAAGTGTGCCTTCGACGCATTCATAGAGGCGACCAAAGGAGCGTCGAATGTTTGTGCACTATCCACTTCATCAATTTTTTCTATGAGTTCAGTGGGAGTTTTGTTTTGATTTTGGAGGTCCTGATGACTAGTCTCAGGTAGTTCGTGATTCTCGTCAGAACGACCTTCAGTCATGGTGTCACTGAGAATTGTAGTGATACTGGTTCCCGAGGTGTGTCCTAACAATGGATTTATGTGACTCGGAACAATTGTCGACTCGGAGTTCGGTGCACTGTCCACTTCATTGATTTCATCGTTGAGATCAGTGGGATTTGTGTTGTCAGGAGAGGTGTGGAGTTGGTTGTTTAGATGCTCTGTGTCAATGTGGTCAGTCAGATTATCTGATGTTTGTGACAACTCGACAACAGGTGGTTGATCAGTCATTGGATCTAAGTGTGCCTTCGACGCATTCATAGAGGCGACCAAAGGAGCGTCGAATGTTTGTGCACTATCCACTTCATCAATTTTTTCTATGAGTTCAGTGGGAGTTTTGTTTTGATTTTGGAGGTCCTGATGACTAGTCTCAGGTAGTTCGTGATTCTCGTCAGAACGACCTTCAGTCATGGTGTCACTGAGAATTGTAGTGATACTGGTTCCCGAGGTGTGTCCTAACAATGGATTTATGTGACTCGGAACAATTGTCGACTCGGAGTTCGGTGCACTGTCCACTTCATTGATTTCATCGTTGAGATCAGTGGGATTTGTGTTGTCAGGAGAGGTGTGGAGTTGGTTGTTTAGATGCTCTGTGTCAATGTGGTCAGTCAGATTATCTGATGTTTGTGACAACTCGACAACAGGTGGTTGATCAGTCATTGGATCTAAGTGTGCCTTCGACGCATTCATAGAGGCGACCAAAGGAGCGTCGAATGTTTGTGCACTATCCACTTCATCAATTTTTTCTATGAGTTCAGTGGGAGTTTTGTTTTGATTTTGGAGGTCCTGATGACTAGTCTCAGGTAGTTCGTGATTCTCGTCAGAACGACCTTCAGTCATGGTGTCACTGAGAATTGTAGTGATACTGGTTCCCGAGGTGTGTCCTAACAATGGATTTATGTGACTCGGAACAATTGTCGACTCGGAGTTCGGTGCACTGTCCACTTCATTGATTTCATCGTTGAGATCAGTGGGATTTGTGTTGTCAGGAGAGGTGTGGAGTTGGTTGTTTAGATGCTCTGTGTCAATGTGGTCAGTCAGATTATCTGATGTTTGTGACAACTCGACAACAGGTGGTTGATCAGTCATTGGATCTAAGTGTGCCTTCGACGCATTCATAGAGGCGACCAAAGGAGCGTCGAATGTTTGTGCACTATCCACTTCATCAATTTTTTCTATGAGTTCAGTGGGAGTTTTGTTTTGATTTTGGAGGTCCTGATGACTAGTCTCAGGTAGTTCGTGATTCTCGTCAGAACGACCTTCAGTCATGGTGTCACTGAGAATTGTAGTGATACTGGTTCCCGAGGTGTGTCCTAACAATGGATTTATGTGACTCGGAACAATTGTCGACTCGGAGTTCGGTGCACTGTCCACTTCATTGATTTCATCGTTGAGATCAGTGGGATTTGTGTTGTCAGGAGAGGTGTGGAGTTGGTTGTTTAGATGCTCTGTGTCAATGTGGTCAGTCAGATTATCTGATGTTTGTGACAACTCGACAACAGGTGGTTGATCAGTCATTGGATCTAAGTGTGCCTTCGACGCATTCATAGAGGCGACCAAAGGAGCGTCGAATGTTTGTGCACTATCCACTTCATCAATTTTTTCTATGAGTTCAGTGGGAGTTTTGTTTTGATTTTGGAGGTCCTGATGACTAGTCTCAGGTAGTTCGTGATTCTCGTCAGAACGACCTTCAGTCATGGTGTCACTGAGAATTGTAGTGATACTGGTTCCCGAGGTGTGTCCTAACAATGGATTTATGTGACTCGGAACAATTGTCGACTCGGAGTTCGGTGCACTGTCCACTTCATTGATTTCATCGTTGAGATCAGTGGGATTTGTGTTGTCAGGAGAGGTGTGGAGTTGGTTGTTTAGATGCTCTGTGTCAATGTGGTCAGTCAGATTATCTGATGTTTGTGACAACTCGACAACAGGTGGTTGATCAGTCATTGGATCTAAGTGTGCCTTCGACGCATTCATAGAGGCGACCAAAGGAGCGTCGAATGTTTGTGCACTATCCACTTCATCAATTTTTTCTATGAGTTCAGTGGGAGTTTTGTTTTGATTTTGGAGGTCCTGATGACTAGTCTCTTGTAACTCCCTATTTGTATTTTCTTTTTCTGACTGTATTTTTTCTGTGTACCTTACTAAATTTTCCGACTCTTCGCGTCCGTTATTTCCTTCCATTGTTTTTGTTTGTTTTCCTTTTGTTTTGTCATGTTGCTGCTTGTGTTGAGGTTCATCTTTTTCTAGTTTTCGTGACGCATTATTCGTTGTCTCGTCACTCTCGTTTTTCACTTTTTCATGGTCAATCTCCGTGTATTCGTTTTGTTTGGTAATGTCGTTTAAATCTGTTTCCACTTTTGCGTACTGTGTGTGTTTTTCTGTAATCTCAATAGTGAAAAGTTTTTCCCCATCTTCATCTATGCTGTTCCTTGAACATTTTACACTTGTATCCATGTTGTCTTGTTGTTTGTCTTTTTGGTCTACAAATTATAAAATTTTTATTTATTAAATGATATTACATATTCGAAACCTACAATAACTAACCATTTGAGTTCATTTAATAAATATGTTCATTTTTTAGAGCATTTTGTGTGTATTCTGTGTGAAACGGTTGGTTCTAGGATTTTTTCTGCTCTTCGAACAGATATTTTAAATGACGTCTTAACTTCTTCAACTGTTTGCAATAATTTTTGAGTTGATTATACGGTTTTGTATTATTTGTAAGGTGATGTTTATCTTGAACTAAACCAGTGTTTTTTGGTTTCTCAAAATTCCATAACAAGTATACGTTTCGAATAAACATTTAACCTAAGAATAAGGTATTTTTAACCTTAAAATTTGGAGTATTTCTTGAGATATATTAGTCCTTGAAAAATCTGTGAAGGAGAATAAAGGTCACTCATAACGTAGTTCAATTCATTAAGAACCTTTATCACTTATAACTAATTATGTTTGATCTAATTCCCTTGGATATTTTTATGCAGTAAGCTATCAATAGTGTGAACATACAGTTAAGAAGTACTACTGAGTTGGCAATATTAACTATATCTGGTAATCATTTGGATTTTTTTCATACAATTCAAATCTATGGTAGCACTACAGTACCTGTAATATTCAGTTCAAATTTCATGCATTAATGTTAACCAAGATTATATGCAATCCAATAGGTGCTTGGCACCCATCACCCGTTTTTTGTTATTTTTCTAATGTTTCCGTCAATTTCACGTAGAAAAGTTTCTACACTGTATAGATATATATCAGAATATCCTATTTCCATAGCCATCGTTTTTCATCAGCAAACAAACCATGAGGTTTTCTTTAAGCAGAGATGGATGATGGCTAGTATTATGATCCAGGACACGCGTTTTATCCTATTTTGGACGCGTCAGCTGGATGTATCTGGATCCCACTGTTAACGTTCATTCCGGAACTTGAACCCAGTACCGTTTGCTTCAAACTCCATCACGTTATTCACTTAGTTACTAAGTCTAGATAGCCACAAGCTTGTGCAGATACTGATTAATCACAGCCTAAAACACTAGTGGGAAGATCCAAGCAACCAATGTATTCGAAGTTGTGGGCAAACATATATTTGTACGTCAATATCCAAACATTCTTTAATTTGATGTATAGCGACTTAAATTCTTAAATGAGAGCATTTTACATTCTGTACTTCATTTATTGAATGGGTTTTAATAAAGCATTAATCTGTTGACCAGTTTTTCTCAATGTTAGAACTCATTTAATAGCTTTTACAAAAGCAATATAATAGTTTAATGTATCTGGACAACATTGTTAGTTGTGTGTACTAAATCCATTGTTACTTCAGCTTACCTGATGATAGTGATGTACGTTGAAGCTGAGGCTCAGTAGACGTTTCTCCAGTAGTGTTATTTACAACTGGTCGCTTTTTAAGCAGATTTGAAAAGAAATCAGCTAGTACGCCATCTGAAGTACCTTGTATAGGAGTGCTAGTTAAATTATTTGTTGGACCTCCTGGAGAAATCTGTTCAGAAAATGTTGAAAATGGATGAAATGTTAGATAATCAGTATACATTGATCTTAAAGTTAATATAAACTTTTTGTAAACCGTTGCACGTATTTTATTCTAAATTTTTGTTATTAAGAGACATCGAAAATCTTTTTAAAAATCTCACAACAGTCGAGAATTGTCCTTAATAGGTTTGATGAATCAACATACTTCATAACCTGTTATATTCAGGTTCCTTCCTAATATGATTGATCGAATCCATGGATTATTTTTGATTTTGGCATCTTTTCCAGATGATTTCAGGAACTTGTAGTAATTTTTCAACCATATCTCCGCCTTTGATTTTGTTCATACTTCTAAATTTGTAGTACCAAGAGTCTAAAAGTCTGCATAAAGTCAGTAAAGAAATTTCTGTTTTAAATACTATCGCTACTGAGATTATAGACTTACAGTATTCTAAAAAAAACATATTTTACTTGGTATTATTTGTTAAATATTATTCATAATTCATTGAAATACGAAATCAGATTTCTGTAGCTCTACAAACCATACTGAACCAAATAACCAGTAATCAAATTGTATTTATACAACACCGTACTATTCATGTATCTATCGCTTCATTATTAATCAACTTACTTTTGTACGAAATATAGGGGTTGGACTGACCGGTAAACGACTGTTATCATCCATGGTTTTAGCACCTGATCCAATTTTAAAACTATTTGCAGGCTGTTTTGAATTGGACGGTAAATCCCCAGAGCCTAAGAATTCTTTTAGCATGTTAGGATCTATGTTCTCGTTTTCTTTGATTGTTGAAAGTCGAAGGAGAAAAGCCTACAATAATCAATGACATGTAATAAAACCCCACCAAATTATATTTCGTATTTAAAAAGCTTGAAACAATTTTCTAAAATAATTATTGATTGGCTAATAAGCACCCATGATAATTTTTTGGAAAAGTCGAATGGCGAAAATATCTAGTTTTATTCCATTACAGAAAATTAAAGCTATTTAATAAATTACAATGTATGTTCTTTTACGCCACAGATTGTAAAGCTTCACATAAATTACTGGCAATCAGAAGGATAGCTTCATACTCAAAATTTATGAATTGAGAATTGTAAATTTTATAAATTACAGAATGGTGATTATTTTTTCATCAAACTAGTTTGACGCTAATATCAGACAATATTATGTACCTGTTTTTACTGAAGCCTTTCTTTTGTGATATACTGTTTAAAAAACATTTGATTTTGCATTACTGATTAAGTGAATATGAAAAAATCTTTTTGAGCTTCTTGCTACTCGAAAATTTCCAATTGCCTCAATGTTTATTAGTTTTTTTGATAGTGTGGTGTGTGCTACTTATATTGACATAAGTAGTATATGATGTTAGTCGTGAACAGAAGGACTGGCAGCAGAGAGACAAGAGGATCGAACAGTGAAGAATGGAAACAGGATTTAATTTGTATGAAAGTGCAAGAACAATAAGGTCTGAGTCATTTTGGGACAATTGGTAGACATTTTGCAAATTAAGTATTTACTTTATGATTGTTAGATTTTATTAACAAGTCCTGTAATTTGATGTCAAAATACATTCGATTGTCCTCACCCCTGTTCTTGTTCTGTACAATTGCACTATTACTGAAAAAATAAGCTGGTTGCAAAATAAACCATGTCATACCTTAGTAGGATTAATGATTTACTTTATGCACATAAATAAACAATAAACCAATTATTTAAACTTATTATTAACCACGTTGTAATAAACAATATTTATGCTGGATATAACAAAAAAAGTTTTATATTTTTGATAAAATAATGGAATAGGAATAGAAATTTTCACACAGATTCTTCAATTGAACACACTTATAATTGAGGTGAAGTTGTAATCATGTGTTTGTTTTTCATGTAAGGTTTAAGATTCTCACAAATTATTATTAACAATATGTGTAGTATTCTGAAATCTTGGTTTTATAATATTATTATACTCCATAGCTACAGGTTTTTTGTTATATTAGGTAGAAAAAACAATATTCCTTGAGACTTATTATATATAAAATTGTAAGAATATACAAATGTTTGTAACACTGTATATATATTAGATGGTGGTTGGAGGGAGTCAACAGAAAAACCCGGACCCGGGTTTCATGCTACTTGGCACTTGTCAGCAAGGTGAACCTGTAATCTTGAGGGAACTGGTGCTCCCTGAAGGATTCCGTCCCGTGTTCGATAGCATTCGATCTGCACTAAGAGGGACTTGACACACATGGCATTGATCACCACCCAGTGATCAATCAATTGTGACTATATATATATATATATATATATATATATATATATATATATATATATATATATATATATATATATATATATATATATATATATTCTGTGTCTCTCAGTGAACCACTTATGGTGATGGTAGTTTCCAGTATGAACTGATACCATCTAAAGAAGCATTATGAACAAAACAGCGCTGTACGTATGGTTTGTCCTAGTTAAGGCCTCATCGGCCCTGCTTTATTATTTGGTTGCGTAGATTGTTGAAATTAGTGTAATGGAAGAATGCTTTCGCTTACGGATTTATATTAGGTGTACACTACTGATGATTTGCAAATTAGAAATAAATACCTTTTTAGGAAAATAATTTAGAGCTCAGGAAACGTTTCATAAAGAATCTTTTTTCATTTTTTTTCCCATGAAAATGGTAACTTCATCGTTTATTCACGGTAGCTATTCTAATATTTAAAAACGTTTTCTTCATTTTACATATTTTAAAGATTTTGCCTTATTTGGGTTGGACACTCCAGTCGATTAGGCTATCCAGTGTAATGGACAAAAAATCAGTAACAATTCTTCTGAGTTGCAACTTTTCCCCATCATTGCATTCTATAGACTCATTAAGTGGTATACTCTAGGTGCAACAAGATTATCGCTAAACATAATAAATAGTAATAGGCTTCCCATAAAAAGTGATGATTTTTTTAGTCATGACGACTTAATTTAAATGAAGATACTAATGTGAATCTAAAATTAGATCTATTTGAAAGTAATATATAGATAAATCACTTATATCAATCATAAGCTTTCACTAAGCAAACTTATTTAAAATGCTGAATACCTATTGTGGTCATGTACTACTGGGATTCAGTCCTAAGTAATTTTTGAATCTGTCTAGTCAAACCTCCAATTATTACTATGTGTAGTGGTACTATGTAGGTCAAATGCCAGAAGTGATATGCGTTTGGATCCATTAAGATTTCTAGGTCCTGAGTAAATCTCTTCACCGATTCCCGACAACACATACAGGCAGTAAACTGATCCGTCAAAATAAAGGCGTAGGTGCATCCATTCTTTGTCTTCCCCAAATTATAATCCTTTAAGTTCCTCAATGTTTTATGTCACTAATTTACATTGCCTGAGTCGTATTTTAGACCCCTGGTCTTCTCTATTACCGCTAATACTATCTTCATAACTGAGTTATTATCTAGAAGAGAAAAGGTGGGACTAAGTAATCTCATCTGAGACAGATTATCACTTGGAATGGAGTTGTGAACTGTCCTTCAGGTACGACTTTGTAGTCCAGTCCTTTGTGAGTTCTATATAGTGGTGAAAAGCTTTTCAGATACACGATAGTGTCTAAAGAAGTTCCACAAAGTTTGTTTATTAGCTCTATCGAATGCTCTCTCATAATCAAGAAGGTTGATGTATTGTGACGAGTTCCATCCGACTGACTAGACAACGATGATCCTTAGTGCATCAGTTTGTTCGGAATATGATTGATCTTTGCGAAAGACAGCTTTATTAATCTCAAAGTTGAAGGTCTTCTGAATCATTCATTTTATTCAGAAATATTCTGTTGAAAAACACCTAGTATTGGAAGTAGTATGGTTTCACTGTAGTTTCCAAATTTACTAAGATCTCCCTTCATCCATTAACAACCCCAGAAGTGAGTCCTTTTTGTACAACTTATGGACATATATTCAACATATGTTATATGCAACGAGTATTATGTAATGATTTTAAAAAGTAAATGACAAGTATTACGGCATACCTGTTCATCAATGGCCATTATCTCTGATTCTCTGTGAATTGGTTTACGTGGTACTGGTCTTGGGATAACGGTAGAAAAAGGATGCTGTGCATTGATTTTTGTTAAATTTTCACCTAGGATATTAATCTTTTATGATTATCCCAACCTGCTGGACTGAACAATAAATATATAGATAGGAAAAAATCGTAAGGTTAATAATTGTATTTCTCATTAAAAAGAAAATTAAACTGAGTTCGCACTGCTCTACACATAAAACACATACATTCTTATGGTAAATGCAACCCATTTTTATACTTTAATTGTAATATCCAAGCATTTATACGTTGTTTCTTTTGCCAAATACAAAATTTCCGGTTTGTAATTTAAAGAACATTCTATGACAGAGAGCGTTTAAAGACTTAGTTTTCATGTTTCACCTTTCTCTCTGAACTAGGTATTTATTTTGAGAGCCCAGTCATTTTTCTAATCACGTTTCACCTTGTATAAAATTTATAAATAGGTTAATTATTTTTATCCCTTTTAATGGAATTAATTGATTGTAAAACTAACAAGGTAATTTTTGATATTTCACTGTTATGCTTATACGAAAAATGTCTTTCTTTTCATTTCATATTTTTTGCGCAGAATAAATGCAAAGAATTAGTTTTCCTGTATAACCATGAACATCATTTTACTCTTTTCTTCTGCTTGCATATTTTTTTCTTCCATAATCCCTAGCACTGAAATCCACGACACAGATTTTGTTTTATGTAGGACTTATCGTCTTTTATATTTGGAATCTAGAGTTAATGCTCTTACTGTTCATATCAATCCAACACTGATATAGCACCATAAACTGTTCATTAAAGATCTGAATATTGAAGTGGAACCCCTCCAAAATAATGTTCCATGCCTTGTTTTGTAATACTTTATACGTCAGACTTAACAGATAAACTTATTTTTAAAATTATCATAAGTTGCCTAATGGACACTGTAACTAATTATGGAATGGCCAGTTGTTGATGCGTTTAACTAAATATAAATTCTCAGATACAGGTACATCAGGCTGATGAGTCACAAACAGAACAAAACAAGCATCCCGAATTCCACTTCTAGATACATCCCATCTATTCTAGAAAAAACTTTTGAACTACTGTACATATCGAGACAATCTGCAGAATACATATAAATCAACTGAGACTGATCAAAATCCAAACAGAATCTAATTGTTCCCTTAAATCTCTTCTTAGCTGCTACATACTATTGGTATAAGAAAATAAATAAGTCTTTAAAATACAATGTATCTGGAGAGTGTATGTGAAACTAGTAATGGATTCATTTCGACATTTTCACATGTCTGCAAGCTGTGTTTCAGTTTTAGGCGTACACCTACCTCTTCTGATGGCTTTGTACGAGATGAACCAAAGATCTTTATAAAATGTCAGTATAAAATTCATGTTGTAGTAATTTCATGTAGATATGTATATTTATTTATTTATTTAAACACATAAACACTGATACAAGGCACCAATTATGTATGCACTACACTCCATCATTCGATTTGCGTGAGAGCCAGAATACATCCCGAGTGCCAAAAGCAGAAGGAAGATATGTGTTTATACACAACAGTCATTTTCAAAAGAATCTCTTATGTATGATGTGGAATAAGTCTCACTATTCTCGTGAATTTAGTTGAACAGACCATTTTTAGAGTATTTAAACATTTAGTGCTTATGAATCAAGTGTCATTATACATTAGTGCACATTTTATACTATAAATCTCGTCCCCACTAATATACTCAAAGGTAAATACAAGAATCAACAGAAAACTAGACGACAAGACTTGAGATCTCTGTCAAAAAACGAAATCGAACCAACAACCTTACCTTTGTTCAGCTTCTAATCCTAATTTTTATAATAACTAATTACCTCTTGACTTTGTTATTTCTATTCTTTCTCACCAGACAGCTTTATTTCACATATTTCATATCAGACCTCATATTTTATCATTGTTGCTAGATGTCTATCTGTGTAATATATTTGTCATCCATCTCTGAAAGGTTTTTGATGGACTGATAGTGTATATTTAGATAGACTGGTTTCGGTAAGCCTTCATTACTTTAGTTTAACTTTACAGTTCCCTTTACTTCAAATTGCATTTTTAATACCAGACTATTTGTCGACCTATTTTTGTGTTGCCTTAGAAGTCTGTCTAGTAACTGGTACTACATTCTTTCAATAATCAATACAAATTTGATGGGATACTAGTGTCAACAGTAAATAAGTTCCATGAATTTTGTTGACAAAGTTCCCAAAGAGTAGTAGTATGACATAACTAATATAAAGACAGTATATATATATATATATATATATATATATATATATATATATATATATATATATACATATATATATATATATATAAGACCATGTGAAACGAATTTTATTTCCTGTATTACTTAACTACACATATTATCATAGGACTAGAGACTGATGAGAATACGTTCCTTAATGGGTTCAATTGCAAACCGAATCACCTGATTCCACATAATTTGATGTATGAAACAAATTACAAGACTAACACTAACATATAATTCCTAAAGCAACATTTTCACTAACCGTTCACAGTTTAAGATCTCTGACATTGAATAATTAATAATCTATTAACGTTTGAGTTTCTAATCTGCGATATAAACAGCGATAAGTAGAAGAGGATACGGTAATACCGTTAATGAGCGAGCTTTGCGAAATCTTTGTCAATGCATATTGCTATATAACACCGATATTGACAGCAGATTATATGATAAAAAAAATCATAGTATTTTATCTGTGCATCTGAAGAACTGGGTGACCCTTATGAAGTCATCATCTGAAGTGTATTGTACAAAAGTTTGCAACACTAGCTAGTGGAGGCAAATTAACACTAACAATTCTCAAACATGTAACTAACGAGTCTCTTAGACCATGGACTGGACACAATAAGCAATTTCAGACCTTAAACAAACAGATATCACTTCACAACAGTGGACGTTAATCTATATTTTGCTATATTATTATTATTAATTTTACTTGTTGAATCAGTGTTTAGATATCAGTTTTATGTTAGTTTCAGAATTCGATATTTTGCTAATTTTATTTGCTTCTTTGATTTGAGACAGTTTAAATGATATATCTTTGTAATGTTTTTCTTATTCAGCCTATTTTGTCTATTTTCCTATTCAGATTTCTAAAGATGCATATTTATTGAATAAATCAAAGATCTCGTTTCTTGCCAAGATAAACCACTATTTACAAAATGTGAGATCATAATATTCATTAAAAACACTATCATCATTGTAAATTGTAGCTAGTTTTAAAGGGTACTTCGGAAATTATCAATCATTTATAGGTATTCTTTCACTCCTTAAAGGCCTCAGCTGGTAGTTTTTAAGACTACTTTACTGTCATATGGAAACCAAGGTGGCAGCAGTTGTGAATATAAGCACAGAATGAGGGCTAGCTTAAAATAATCGCGACAAATTTTTAGTCTGTTCTTGGCTAATCAGTTAGACCTTTTAAAACTGAATAGTCTGTGGAAAAGAAAACAATAGCACTACTAAGGGTTAACAGATTTTACATAAATGAAAACGGTTTGGAGCCATGTCATTTAGGTCTATAACCACTGTCTACTATAATCACGCAGACCCCAATCAGGTAGCCTGCACCTACTGATATGGCTCAATCCAACAGTCCCTGACTTAGTGGACTAATATCGCGTTTTTGTTTAGTCTGCCCTAGCTCCCTTCCAGCTTATTTCTATATTGGCCGTCCATATGGATATAGAACATCAGTCTTCTCAAACCATTATCAGAAGGCAAAAGGCCTATTATTAGTCCATAGATTTTTCGGGATTTTTCTTGACTCTGATCGTCCAGTCTCTGAACTTCACATTTATCTTGACATTTTTATATTCCCGCTTACACCAATAACTTTAATTTCACTACTCAGCTAGAATAAATGCTAACGTCGACTTATTGAGGCAAAACATTTCCCATCCTCAACCACCAATCAGATCGCTAGAAACCCAAACCAGTACCATATTCACATTAATGAACTTAAAACTAGAGTGATTATGTGCAATACAAATACAGAACGTATCGTAAATAACAAATCACATTGTGCACATTATGAGGATATTTTGGAACAAATTCTGAGCAATAGATTTGTAACTAATCTATGATAAATTATGTATGAAAAAAGAAACGATAACAGTTAGTAGTCTGAATGGGATTAATATAATATCATGAATCATTTAGTTAATTAGTGAATATTAAAAATATGTTTTGATTAACCAGTAAATAGCTTCTGATTTTCTTATGTTCATATATTCTCTCATTTATTACAAAAAATATCTTTTAGAAATTCACAAAGGATAAATACATTCGATAGTTACTTACATGAAAATACAATCTCCTTCTACTATATACGCACTTTGACTAAAAGGAAACCCATAAATACGATGCCGAATGTAACGATTTAGTAAATCACAGTTTTTATCTTCTTTCACTGACACATAAAATAATGCTGCTCCATCTACAAGATTTTTATGGGATAATATATGATTGTACGTTTCAAATAGCAATAGTTTGATGAAAAATAAATATTTTCGTATTGTAGTAAATGAAATTTTAAGGAAAACTCATCTGCAGCTTATACATGCTCATTAAAGTTTACTTGTATGTTTAATGGACTGTGATGTCAGGAACTATCAACATTAAATTTTAAAAAATTGCCAGAGATTTTCGAGTGCATGACTCCACAAATGTTTCAACTTTGAGTATTTAGCACCTCGATTCGAGTTCATTTGTAAACAACTTAATCTAAATTAAATCCTTGTTAGTCATTTCAAGAGAATGAGTTAAAAGCGATATTTTCTTATAATCAACTGGAATCTTGAGGTTTTTTATACAATGTCAAAGATTTAAATTGAGTTCATTCGAGTAACACCGTATAAAACGGAAATATTAGGTTCATTATCCTAAAAGCAAATAGCTTTGTTAGTGGGATATAGATTAGAACAAAGAATGTTCCATGCAGGATTGTGATGGAGCATGATGATTAACTATTCGTAACCAATCAAAGCTAACGGATACTTGTAGAAGACTCTTGAATGTTATGTAAAAATTATAAGTATACTAACGTTCTTCTTATTGTGATTCCTACTTCCATCCAACCTTGTTATTCGAAGTACAATTAAATTTCTGTTAAACTGTGTTCTCATTCGAGGACTTGTTTAGTGAAGTAGTGCCCAAGAGTACTAAGCAATGAGAGTAGCTGGGTTATAATAAGAGAATTTCCATTTTGAAAGGTTAGCTCTTAAGATTGATTCTATCCACATGAAAAATAACATTTAGTTTTTTACACTACTAGATTTTTCTATAAATTTAAATAGAGCAATAAAACGAGGTTTGCAAACCGTGTTCTGTTTAATCATTTCAGTTCGTTAATTTCTACTGGTTTGCTAGTCAGAAAAAGAATGTTTTATTGCAATTCATCTCTCAGCCATCGTCTGATTATTACAATCAAAACTAATAATAACTTGATCTTTTACTCTGTCAGTAACCAGTCCGAGATGATTGAGTTGATCAGTCACTCGACTTTGATTGCATACCGTTTCCGTAGTAATAATTTTATTAATGACTGTATTACTAATTCATCAAGATGTTACATAATTCAAAGTTAAAATAATCATTTGGTTTGAATAATAATAAGTGGCAAAATGTGAAACATATCAGCTGTTAAGGGAGAAAACATAACAACTCACACGAAAGACAAAATCGTCGTATATGCATTTGTATAAAATCAAAATGTTCTTCTGAATATTGATTTTCTTTGATCATTATCTTCATTAAGTCCGTCTATTTTAGTTTCAGGATAAAACATTGTAAGGCGAGAAAATTTTTTTAAAATTATTACATTGAAATATAGTCCATGTAAAGTTAAATAGATGTATATTGAAATCATTATACACTATTTCATTTGCACTCATTAAATCTCTCATTATTATATTTATAAGTATTGAATAGAGTGAAATTTCCATAGAGTACAGTTTCTAACCACTAATGATCTGTATAATGTAGGAAATTGTAAACTAATAGCTGAGTTCACTATATGCAAGTTTAATCAGTAGTTAGTAGTACAGGTTAAAACGAATATTATGGTTGTAAATAATTTAACCACAAATTTTGTTTTAAATACGAAATATACTACTATTCTGAAAAAATAACAATTTTTCTGTTTATCCATATGTTCATTTATTTGAGCTTTTATTATTATGATGATAACCTTAATATCCTAACTTGATCTGTTTTGTTACTTACACCGTTACTTTTAACTAAATCACTCAGTCAGCACAACACTCATTCTAGTCTAGAACTAATAAGCAATAGTATTCACAAGTTCGTTAGTGACTGTAAATTAAAATCATCTAATCTTGCATTGATAGTGTTACTTTTAGATTACTTAAAGATAATGTAATCACATTAATTGATAACTGCATTACTCTTGACACAGTTGAGTTATTTATGAATACAAACTGTAAAACCTTTTTCAAATGAAATAGAAGTAGATATTCACCTTTAACTAGTGAGGAAGATTCTCTAGTTAATGTTGGTATGTAGCAAAAATATCCTTAGATTGGGACGTTTTTCATAAGTCAGTTAATCAAATAGTTTTTATGCAAAATTTATATTTATTTATTTAGTGGCTTTATTCAACATCATATTTCGGTACAATATAGAATTGTCAGCACAAGGTATTTCAATAAGTTACTTACGCAAAAAAACAGTAGCAAAGACAAAAAATGGAAAAAAGCTTAAAAGAAAAGAAACGAAAAACTGTACAACTTTTCAAATTAGAGACATGTTAAGAATGAAAGTTATCGACTAGGTTAACTCTAACAACCTGTTCGTCACAGAGTATATTTGCTAGGTAAGGTATTATAGAACTCTTATACTTTCGCTTGCGTGCATGAATTTTAATGTATTTACATCTCGTTCTACCAGAAAATATACAAGGAGAAAGATAAGAGTGAAGGGGATGGCTAGTATCTGATAAAATAACACATGCCAGGAGTTTGCATGACTTTAGATGTCTATCCACAACCATATTAATTATGACCTCGAAAGATTCACCACACACCTTGCTAACTGCTTTCAGCACTCTCCACAATACAGCAAAGTCTTTTCTCAAACGCCCGGGAAAGAATAATGGAGAACAGTAAAGAATAATAGGTAATAAGCAAGAATTGACAAATTGTAAAAGTAAATATTGAGTAATTCCAAGAGCATGAAATCTCTTTACTTAGTAAATCAGTAAAAAAATATGTTACTTTTTAACACAAAAATTTATTCAATTAGTTTTAGGATGTTCGTTTTTAATTATTTATCATGAACTAAAAATGATTGTCATTTGTCAAAGAATAAATTTAAGCTGATAGCTTAATTTTTTTTTCGATCAGTCATTAATATGTTATAATTAATAATAATTGTTTTAATTTAATGATCTGTTACAAAATGTTGTGATATTAGTTAATGAACAGTTCATGCTTAATATTACTTTTGATGTTTTCTAAGCATCTTTATTTCTAGTCCCATTCATATTCAATCAGGATAACATCATTATGAAACTTTATAAGAAAGTGAAACTTGGTTCTAGACAGATATTGGTAATTGATAGTTTTTTTTGTAAAGTTCAATTCACCATAAGTTATCTAACAAGTTTTAACCAAATACAAGTTCTTTTAATTTGTTCAATCGGTGGAAATCTATAAATAGTTATCAGTTTTAAATATTTAATTAAGTCTTATTTTTTGTATCTTCAGATAGAATTGAAACGTTTCAGAATCAAAACTTTGACTGACAAAATATTCCGAACATAGAAATCTATTAGGCTAGGTCTATATTAATCATTCTTGACTGACTGATACAGACAGATAGTAGCTTCTGACGAGTTATTCAATTCTTAACTAAATGGACTGATGACATGTAGTAGTTTAACCATTTCGAAAGCTTTTCTGACCTACGCCCATACTAGCTAGATTAATTACTCTGCTAGATTTTTGCTGACTGAGCGTATAAAACACACGTCTTGATCACCCTATATAAATGATCATTGACAGTCTAATCAGTGTCCTAATATCTACCTATAACTCTCTACAGAAGACCCACATTATTTATTCAGTCATTCCACCAAAGGCTAGCAGTGTTCTTATATGAAGTATAATGAAGTATATTATTCATAGTTTTAAAGCAAAACATAGTAGTCTCCTGGAGTTCACTCGCTATCTGATAGGCAGTTTAAGCTGCTAGTAGAATAATTTAACAAACCCAGATCAGGCTTTGGTACTCTTTTTTTTTAAATGATTAAAAATACATGATAAACCAAGTGGTCAATGAGTTTAACTATATTACTGCTTGCGGTCGTACAAATAACTGAATGAACTAAATAGTTCTTTCATAAAGAAACAATTTCAAGTTAGTGATTTACAGATCAAATGACTGATTGATCCATCTTACAGAGAGGTATAATTAAACCATTCTGTCGTTTTACTTTAATTTATATTTTATCAAACATTTTATCTACGTAAATAAATATCCAGTTTAAACAATCATATGATCAAGGAGCTTTACGTGCTTGTAGCAAAAAAACATCTACTTTGAGTCAAATATAACTTCTTATTCATGCAATTATTTTCTATTGTTGACAAATGTTAACAAATTTTAATCATAGTAATATAATTCTTCCTTGTAAGACGATAATCTTATTTTCTTGATTTTACAATACTTTGTATTGGATCAATAAATTATTTAGGTAAAATGAGAACATCATCTAGTGAACCAGAATAATAGGTGATTTTCTTCGTTTTACATAATTATGTTATGACACTATGGTTTCTATTGTTCTTGGCATATTCAAAATTATAAGCAGAAAAGATCACAGTAAGATTAATTTATTAAGTTTAATGCATGCATATTCAGTACATCTTTATTAGTATTTATATTTGGTTATTACAAGTGGGATATAATATAAAGGTACGTAATAGGCTACTTGAATCAGAATTTTTCTCAAGAAGTTCATTTTCTTTTAACATAAAAACGGTTATCTCAGTCTATTAAAATTAATGGCTTCTTATCTGATCAGTTAATTGTCCTCTATGCATCATCTGTAATTTAGTGAACAATTATCTCAACTTGTATTTATTAAATACAAAGCACGCTACTAAACAAATAATTTTAGTATTATTAAAACTGTACTCCTAGAAGTCTTTTCTTAAGAATGCATCAGATAATTATACAAAAGTTAATGCAATTTTAGACTGTATCCATCATTGACTCAGAAAGTTCTAAATTTATAAAATGGTCATCGTTCAACCTTTGCATCTACGGAATTACTCTGCCGGCTACATATCAAAGCTCACACCATAGTTGAAGATTACTATTATTTATTAGGAAAACAAGTTTTCAATATATCATATACAAAGCCTTTAAACAGTCCTATATGTTCATCGCTGACTAGATTAGTGATCGATTTCTACATTCTCACGGGAACCCAACACCTACGGTGTTGATTAAGTCAAGAATGAGACAGTAACTAGTAAACAGCAGTTGATTTTGTTATACTGCGAATCAATTGAATTTTAAAACAAGCATTTGCTGATTTTAGGTCAGTAAACTAATATTACTGGACTCTCTACAAAACCTGAAGGTACTAGCTCTAATCAAATGTTGTTTCAAGAGTGTGCGCTATAAAATAGTCCCAAAATAGAACAGAAGGATTGTTCAATGCTTTGTGATTCTCATCGTATTTTTCTTTTCCGTCATTTTGTGGTTAAAACTATCTCTAGCCTATGTTTCGTTTAAAGTTAACAGATTCATAAGAGTGAGCTACATTTTTAGAAAAAATCAGAAGAGGTATAATTTCATTTTTATATACATTACATGTGTGCATGTGTGAGTAGCTTCACAACACATATGTTATCTTCAATAAAACTGTAAAATTCTATTTAATAAAGTCAAGTAATATATCATAAATTTTCAACAAGATCTCCTTCACGTTGATTGGATGACTTATTCAGTATACAGTAAACCGAAAAACCTTGTATCTATTTATATTCGATAATTTTGTTGTTTGATTATATTTTCCTTGAAAATGTTTGGACCAGATTGCCAGGCGAAACGTTGGATTTACTTAAAATTCATTCGCTGAGATTTTACAAATATATTCTTCTTTTTAAGATCTCCTTATCCGATGCTATTTTGTTATTGATCATTTACTGGTAATCATTTCATTTATTTGAAGACATTTATTAGTTTATAAAAGAATACAAATGTCATTAACATAGTTGACATGTAGATATTTTAGGAGAAATCCGATTTGAATTCTGTTCACTCGATTTTTATCACTAAGTAATTAATAATTCTCGAGATAATATATTGCAACTTATTTATTCTTATCTCCTTTTAACACTAATTAGTAAATTCATGTTTTTAGATATAAAAATAACTTCCATCACATTCAAGAAACTTAAACAAGATTAATTCACTTGGTATTGTTTTACTTGAGTCTTCCCATTGATGTTTTAGGACTGAAATTGATCAATCTCTTATTGGCATATGTGCATACTGTGCGTATGCCTCGATATTGCCTTAATTTACAAGCAAACAGGACGAAACGCGCATCCTGGATTCCACTGCCAGCCACTATCCATCTTTGCTTAAACAAGATTAGTTTACTATTCAAAGAAATATTTCGATATATAATTATTATGGATTATTACTAACCTACTAATAAATTAACATGTCACAATATAATTTAAAATTGATTGTTTCAGACGCTTTAATGAGATGGTGAAGAAGATTTGTAACTCAGATGGATGATTTTGCTGGAATTTTGTTCTTTGAGTTGGATGGTCTATGTAGATAAATAATTATGATCTTATTAAGATTTAAAGGTATTGCATTACTAGCTTTTTTTTTAATCAAATGTTTGATAGTAGATATTTTGATGTCATTAGTCTAAACATAAATGAAATTCATAAAATCTCATTTAATCTGTACAGAATAATTGAATAATTGAATTTAATCTATAGAAATAATAATACAATTGTTTTTACATTATATTTGGTGAATGAGTCCAATTATTATGATTTTTCAAAAGAACAATGTAGAGTAAACTATAACTCTTTATTTAACACCGAAAATATTGCAAAAGTAATAGAGTAAGTCATTAGTATTGGTTGTTAGCATCTTCGCATTGATAGTGAGGACTGAGATTCATTAGTTTCTTTTTGGTACATATCCATCCTGTGTGGGTTACCATAGTATTATCATGAAGTCACAAGCATTATAAGCGGAGGTAAATGGTGGTTAGAAGTGGAATCCATGATGCTCATCCTGTTCTTTATGAGACTTGTCAGCTGGATGTACCCCATTTCACAAGCCAGTGGCTATATGGAGTCATAAACAAAACGGATAACGCAATGTCATTCAAGGCAACCGGTACTGGGTTCGATTCCTATGGTGCTCATCTACTCTGTGACGCAGGTGCATCCAGCTGACGAGTTTCAAATAGGACAAAATGTTATTTCAGATAGTGTCAAAGCGTGTGCTTACAGAATATATGTTTTGAGTGACATTTCATCTAATAGGATTACACTGTTCGTTGACCAAAACTAATAAATGTTAATCTCTAATAATGAAATCCGATAAAAGATTATTTATTCATTTATTAACTGAGTGTTACGACTACTTACCTCTGTTTTGGAGTAAAATTCTCATAAAAAATCACAAATGTAACAAGTAATCTTTAACTGAGTGACACCAGTAGAAATATTCAAGTCGAACATGAAATATGCCATGTTTATAATTATTTTATAACTTCCACTAAATCTCGACATAGCATTGTTCCTAACCCTTCATTCTAAAGTCGAATTTTTCATTTTTTAACGTATCATTTTTGTTTGGGTTTCCGTTGTAGTTGGTCATATTGACCAACTTACGTTTCATATACAGTTAACTTCTTCTGTTTGAGTTAATTTGAGGTAATGTTATTCCCGCCAATACACACCCCTATCAAATTCTACGTCTATTAACATTTATAAACTGGATGGGTGATAGTTACAACTTTAAAGAGGCAAAAATATAAGTGCCATCGAAATGAAAACTATAAAAAGGAAATAATTCCTACTTATTTATGAGTTATTTTTGAATATGATATTTTTCATCAAATCATTTACCTTTGTTACAACAACGATTAACGGTACACCAAGATTGTTATTTAATACATTATCCTCGTACATTTCTTCAATAAACGACTCATTATCATTTAAAAATGATAACTGAGGGGTAGTTTCTTGAGATGTTGCATACATAGTGGACAGTGAAGCTAAATTTACTGGATTAATAATATCATTTGTTGACGCTTCTGGCTCAGCGTAGCCATAAAATTCTTTTGAAACTGAAATATAGACGAAACAAGTTATGCTTTAATGTTACCTAAGCATCTGCTTTCATTGTCAATAGAACCTCTCAGTGTTTTAAAATGGTCAATTGTATTTCCAAATATAATTTAGTGAAAAGTAATTCTCTAGGGTTAGTGGTAAACCGTTATTTAAATAGTCACTGAACAGACTGGCAATTGAACTTTCTAACAATTTAGTAAATCACAGAACCCTGAGCATATTGGATGTATATTTGTTCTGATCTTTTCCAGATCGAATTTACTGAGATTCCAGTTCAACAATGAAGCAGTCATACAAACCATTTAGAAATTCTTTTTCGTATTACTAAGCTTAATGTAATGAATTTCTAACAACATAAAGCTTCGGAATTTTATTTCTTGATGAAGCTGTTGAACTAGACAATAGATCGTAAAAACGTTTACTCCTCTAAATTATGATTGTTGCTATAATAACCTGTGTAGATGATCATAGGAACACTATGAAATTATATCTTGGTCTCCATTTTGTGTAAATGTATTGAGGTTAGAGGTCTCTTGTATTTAGTGTATTGCGTACCAATTATATCTATGACATACGGTTACAAATTTCAGGAATCTACTTTTGCTGCTCGATGTTTAGATTACCTTCCGAACCTGAATTTTATGCTAAGAAAGGAGTCAACAGTCAATTTTCATAATAGTTTCAAAGCCATTAATATGAATTAAAATTACATATGGCTTGTGTTTGAGCAGAAGATTCTGTAAGATAACCTAGAAACTTCATGATCATAATCTTTTGTCTTTCACATTTACTTCAAATATAAAACTCTCAGCTGTCTTCTGCAATTATTCCTAATGTTAGACTTATGAATCTTAGCCGATAAATATGATTTTCAACTAACTTAGTCAAATTATAAATAGGATAAATATCAATGACCCAGTATTCTTTCTTGTAGTTATCAAGTATTTGATCATGATCATCCAAATTATTCATAAGTGAATATTAAATAGTATCTATTAGCTTCAAACAACTGACAAGTATATGCTGACAATTTAAAAGATTTATTCGATCTAGACAATACTATGCTACGGAAATTAACAGACTCATAACACAGAATTGTCTCCAAAAATTGATTTAATGCAACACATTCTGTAATTAAAATAATTCCTTCTTTTACGCATTTTAAAAATGGAGAATACTGGAAAAGAATTCGAGAACGGTCTGCAAACTTTGGTTACGGAATGATGTAAAAATATATCCTAGCATTTAGGGTCTACGCGAAGATCATGTAATCATAAAGAGTATACATATCATAGATAAAATTGTCTGAATCTAGCTGATAATGCTGTTCCGTTTTCGACGAAATCTTAAAGAAACTACGTTTTTCAATTATGTTTTTATTATTCAAAGTTTTATATTGATACCATAGTCATTTTGTATCAATTTGTAGCACGTTTTTTTCATGACAAAACACCATTAGACTTTCTGAGTTACGTAATCTGATATTTGAACGAAAGTCCAAAATAAATAAATTATCTACATCATAGTTACCGGTAAGAGTAGGATACGTACCTTGAAACCGGCTGAATTTTGGAGTATATTTTCTGTAAACCTGTACAAAATGTCGATTTATATTTGGGCAAAAATTAGCTGCGATCCCTGCGACGTTTCGTGAGTCATAATCAACAAAGAGTTTTCAGAAACAAACCTAAATAATCTTAATTAATTATCTTATCTACAATTTAATACACTCATTTATAAGATAAAAAAAGATTCCATTGGATTTTCTCCATACTTCACAAGACCTCTGGACACGAAAGTTTGTTAGTCTCGAATTTCTCTGCTGATAAATCACAAATACTTTGAACAGTCTCTGTCTCCGGTTAAGCAACAATGATAGAATAAGATAAAAATATGAAATCTTCATATACGTATCCATGGTTGACTGATTCGAAGGATGTTCACATATCTGACTGCAGTTACTCATTATTAAGTGTTTACAGCCATCTGATCCCGAGAAATATTTAAAATTTCAGAACTTATGAGTAATACACATAATAATATAACAGTAAATTTGTATAGGTCTCCATGCACAGGTGATGAAACTTGTGGCGCGCTATTTTAAAACGATAGTGGTATTTTTCCTCGTCGAGTAATTTTTTAGTTTTAAGTGTGTTCTAACGTGTAAAGGCTTCTTTTATGTTTATTTTGGTTGAATTTTTAGTTGCAGTAACATAAAAGTTCCAATGTTTGTGTTATGTCTACCACTTTTAGCGGTTTAAAAGCACTTGTTCTAGATACAAGTTTTTTTCCCGCGCTTAAGGAGACTTTTGCGTTTTTCTTTCCGTGAGCTCACTCAACAATTCTAATTGCTCAAACAAAACGCTATTGTGATAGACCCACATGTTTCTTTCCGGTGGAGAAATGAATGCAGTGTGACAATCGCAATAAGTGGTATCACAACATGCGCACAAAACTCACACCGGCTGAATATAAAAGGCGTTGCAAGCCATGCTGCCCTCAAAAGTCTTGGCTGATTCTTGAGGCGATCAGGCTGCTAAACACAGCTAGAACGATCCCCTCAGATAGACAGCCATTGGCAGATAAGCAGCTGTCATACGTTAGAGAAGCAGAGAGCATCATCATGAGTCCACCTATAGGTTTGAATAAAATCACCAAGTTGGACCCCTATAAAGTAGTGGGTAACAAATACACATATGTAGCCATGGTTTCAAAGAAGAAGAGGAAGTACATTAAGAAGGAACAAATTTCAGAGAGGTCTAAAATATATAAGTTTACAACACAAACAGACCGGGAAGGAGCAAAGCCTGAACAATGCATACGATTTGATCAGGAAACGAAATAAGGTCAATAACTTGCCAGCAGTAGCATTTGAAAAATCAAGACAAAAGAATGAAACTTGCACGTCTGATGTCGAATCGGACTGCAGGGATGAAAAGAGTTTATGAAACGAAATCTCACAGCCTCTCAGAACCAATCTTGATTACGGGCCAGTAACTTTTTATAAATTAATAGAGCCTTCCAAAAAAGGTCGAAAGCTAGATTTGAACACTATATAAATCGCAATAAGTCCTTAAAAGCAAGCTACTCTCGGAAAGAGTGGCAGGAGTTAGCATTCATAAGCTCTATCGAATAGGACAAAATGTGGGTTCCAAAGGTACACATACAAGCCACCTCTTAAGAGGTACTTTGCTTCTACTGAAGAATGAGACCTGATACCGGAAATTTCGCGCAAACTTTCTGGATCCGGAATATATGTCCATGAATATCTCAGCCTGGTTGCTCGTACTGAGTGACAATCGATAGAGGTAGAAATAAACAGATAACACCTCAATGGTAAAAATGCCCTATATTTCACATTGTTAAAGTTCAGAGCGAAACGATCACCAAACCACTCGGAGTGGTACGAAAGAGTTTTTCACAACATCAAAGGTATTCTATATAAATGCTGGTAGTGGAGCTTGAAGATATGATGGAAACAGAAAACCCCGATATGATTGCCATCTCAGAAACATGGTTAACGCTAGAAGTGTATCATAATGAAGACCGGTCGCTTGGTTACTTATTTTGTATGGCTGACAGGCTAAACAGTAGGTGATGGTGTTATCCTGTACATGAAAATCATCCTAACCATACGGTCTGTAGATGCAGTGGCAGATCAATCAAAAACATGTGAACTGACGTAGTGAAATGTGGAGGACAAAACATTGTAGTAACTGTGGTATACCACAGTCCAAAATGTGTCATAGACGACTTCCTCCTAAGTCAACTTAAATTCTGGTCAAACATGTGTAAAAGCCTTATAGAAAGTAACTTTAATGCACTTTCTGCTAATTGGGGAAACTCAGAAGTAGCATCAATAAAAACATCGTTTGATTAGGCAGTGCATTAAACCACAGTCGCCCTGGCTTCATTTAAGTATAATAGAGATCCCACCAGATACGACCTACAGAACTCCTCTTTTCTCTTGGACCTAATCTTCACATACGGTTATGTCGGTCAAATAATGTTTACTCTATGTACAAAGAGAATTGACCATGGGGTCATCTTATTAAAGTTAATGGCTGTTGTGGTCTTTAGGCAGTTGCGCCGCCCCGTCCTAACATATTTGGGGAAAACATGAAGGCAATCGACACCTCAACCTCGACTGAAAACTGGAAAAGTGAGTCAGATGCTTCGGTAGAAGAGGCATGAACTCATTCCTGGTGGTTGTACAATCAAATAGCTCAACCTTTATATCCTGCATAGTCTCACAGAAGAAGAATCACTGCCATCCATGGATAGATCAGAATATTCGATGTTTGCTAAGACAAATGACAAAACGTTGGAATTTTGCCATCAGCCTTGAAACAGTGGACACAATCGAATGCTACAAATCGGTCCAAAATAAATGTATAATTACAATCTGGGCTGTTTAGAGATAAAATGAATAGCATTTGCCCCAATCTGTAATCAAGCAGCTGAATAGACTGTTTTCGTACAAAAATGACAGAACACGAACCCATCACTGGATTTCCAACCTAATTACTGATGGGAATAGACTTAAAACAATAGTTAAAGGCCAGGACAATGCAGTGGTCATGGCAAAATATTTCGGGATAGTTTTCACTCAGGAGCCTCTAACAAACGACGAACCAGGCCAAAGTACAAAGTCACAAAACCGGCTGTTCACTGTGAACTTTAATCAAGGTGAAGTAGTCAAGGCCCTCAGTGCTTTAGACACGAATAAATCAACAAGATCGAATGAAATACATCCTAAAGTATTGAAGCGAATTGTACAATATATTGGTACCCCGCGGACTACAACATTCAATACACCGCTCAGCCAAGATGAGTTACCTACGGACTGGAAAAATACAATTGTCTCTATGATATATAAAACGGATCCAGAAAAACATTTATCAAACTACAGACCTGTCATCCTTACCAGTGTCCCGGTTATTATACTGGAAGTAGTAGTCAAAAAGGTCACAACAGCATTCGTGGTAACCAAAACATTGTTAAACAGTGGACAAAATAGTTTCAGGAAAAGATTATCTTTTGCATAAAACTTCAACAAGGCATTTGATATGGTGCCGAAAAACAGACTGCTCTTGAAACTCGAAATCTAGAAATTACCGAACATCTCCTAAAGTGTATCAAAAATTTATTGACAGATCGCTGACAGAAAGTAAGAATGAATTCCAAGTGCTGATCCTAGAAATGAGTATTTAGTGGTGTACCTCAAGGCTCTATCGTAGATCCTTTACTTTTTATACTGTTTCCAAATGAACCCCCAAGTAAAGTTGAGTTCCCGCAGTTACTAAACACTGATGATGTGCAAATCTGGTGGGAAGTAACAGGAGACGTAGATGCATGTGCACTTTGGGCAGACTTGTATGTTCTGATTAGCCACGCCTAAAAACTGGCTTATGTCTGTCAACGCGACCAAGTGTTCTTATATGCACTTTGGGAATACAACGGTAAACGGTTACAGCATAAGGAAAGAGTCAGTACCCTCAGTCAGGTCTCACAAGGATCCCAGAATGATAGAGGCCAAAACAAAGGCGTTTAGAACCCTATGATCTTCAAGACAGATGTTTACTAAGTTAGACTACAAGATATTCATTATAGTGTGGTGGACCAGGCAATATACGGGGCACTAAAATAGCACACACAATCTTAGTGTGGTCTAAACTTGAAAACTGCATTCGGTTTGCAGGTCTCCTTTTGAAAGATGATTCGGATATCCTGGAAAATATACAGAGGGTAACTACCCGTACGACTCCAAAACATCGTTGTTTATCAGAAATAGAGTGGCTTAAGAAGCTAGACCTCTTTACTCTGTCCTACCACAGACTAATACATAGTCAGATTTTAATACATAGAATGCTACGAAAGGATTTTGAATTCAATATTTCGTCTTCCTTTTATTCTACCAGATTAGGACAACACTGACGACATACCAGGCAAGTACAAAAGTTAAGAACGAACCAAAAACATATAGCATACAGGTTTTCACAACGAGTCATGAATTTTCTGACTCCGTTATCCTAAAAAGTGGTGTCCGCCCCTTCAATTGACTCATTCGAGAGAAGACCAGAAACTCTCAGAAGCATGCTGTTAAAGAACTGACTTAAGCTGTAGACCATCTGTCTTCAGTACAGAAATATGAATCTGAAAAAATCAGAAATCATACAAACCAATCAAATAATTGAGTTCAGCTTACTCCTTGATTTGCAAGCTTTTATCATTTCTTTTGACAGTTTTAGTTTATTAATGTGTTTATTAAGTATTTCTGCCCATTTTTCCAAAGCTTCAATTATTTTCCAAGGTTCATTTATGCTGACGACTATAATAGCCATTTGGTCGTTGAACGAGTCCTCGGTCATCACATATTTTAGCAGACAGCTTTGAATAGGGTTTCCATCTATAACGGAGACGCTCAGGTTTGCGGAAACTAAGTTAAATGTTATTATGTTGTTTGCATAACTACCATCTTTAACTTCATCTTTCACCTCGATTATATCATATTCCAGACCAAATCCTTCCCGCTTGTCTTCATTGCCTTGAAGCCGACAAATCAAAGTTGATTTTCCGCACTGATCGTCACCAAATACGACAAGATTTTTGGAGTCCGACAGACCAACTTTAGCTTTGTTTGTTACTTCATCTAGAAGGCTAGACCTACAATAGTTTAAAAGTTATTTAAGTACGTTTAACTGACCAAAGACGTTTTGCCGTTTCTGTTTCTCTAATTGAAACTTTTTCACACATATTTAGTGTTGTCGACCAGGTGGCAACACGATAAATTAGTATAAATTTGTATGGTTGCAGCTAGTAACCTAGACAAGTCGTCCTTCAGCAGAAAAGTCAAACAATTCGTAATTTTTAACACTTAACAAAAGTACTGAACAATCCTGTCGAATCACATCTAAATACCTGTCGATCTAAAATTTTTGTTCATTGAGGTACATTTTTAGCTAAAAATAAAATTTCTAGCAGTCGACTAAATTATTATAACAAACCCTCATCGTGTGAGTGGTAGGTTGTCGTTCAATTAAGCGTGCGTCCATATCAGTTACAATCGATACTCTGTAATCTGGGTGTTCAAGTACAATTGACGTGGTAACATTGTGTTTCATTGTATTGAGCGGTGTCTAAGCCATTTCATCCAGTTTGGTTGTTCATGAGCTCCCACAAATTTGGTCAGACAAGAGTCTCATTAAGGACATGTAATTAAGTGTTAATCTACGATGTAAACTAACCAGTGCATTGGATGTACTCGACCTGACAGTTATCGATTCCAAGTATTAGAAAACAGCAATTAATTTTCAACTTATCGTAGTTAATTTTTTTAGCGGTAAATAAATAATCGAAATCAATAGATCTGTAAAGCTTCGACTTTTGACTACGTCAGCTTTAATAGACTCACCTACATGGAGGCGCTTGGGTACGCCGTGCTTCACTTCTACACCCGCTAGCCAGCTAAAATCAATCACTTCTCGATATATCGATATCCTAACAACTGTATATTCGGCCCTCTTCGCTTCTGACTTTCGATCTCACTGGGTTAGCACGTTTAGATTATAAAAGATATTAGTGGTTAAGGTCTAGTCAAAATTCAAACACATCTTTAGGTTGGTTACTTTGAATATATCATTAACGGATATGTAAATTGTTATACGGATTTCTTAACCGAATGTCATGAGCAAACATTCGTAACGTTAAAATGATGTGATAATAGTAGTTTCCAGGATACTATTCAGCTATGAAAACACTACCCTATTGTTTAATTCATGTCTATTTCTAAGCAGATAGTCATCATATTCGAGGTGGCCGTCCAGATGTGGGTTATAATTTGCAGAATTTATCCCAGGCTCTCTTTTATATCAAACCCCGTGGTTAGCACTTTACGTGGACTACCCCATTGATGTATCAAGGAATCATAGATGCTTTGAAGATTGTACAAAACAGAAGACGTTATTACAAAAATATATTAGTCAAAGTAGACAGAAGCGGAAGTAAGACCACTGCCGTATGGGCCAGTCCATGACGTCCGATCAAATGATGCGTGTTGATTGTCCTTGACCTTGTTCGATATTCAAAGACCCGATTGCCTGATGATTTTGCTAGGGCTCAGTGAAATTTCACCGGACCTGCGCTTGCTTTTCAGACGTTAGTCTGCATAATTTCGACAATACAGATAAACATGCAGACATTATGTCGTATATATCATTAAAGTCCGTGTATTGTAATTTCGCATGTTGCCTATACAGTTCAGGTGGAAGTACAGATCGACACTAAACAAGACTTAAATAAAAAATGCATGCAGTTTTATATGCGAGATCGAAATTTTATAGCTGCTACAACATATTTCACCCTTTTTTCAAGCCAGAAGCTTCAAAAACCGGGATTAGTTTAATAAATCTTAAATGACTGTGTCAACTCGTTAGTGAACATATACTGAAACCTTGATATCAGTAAATGATGCACAAACTAGAATTGTTGATGTGACTGAAAAACCTATTTTAAGATATGTACGATAATTAGAAGGAATTTTCAAAATAGTGCAATTGGCAGAAAGTGGAACTAGACGAGCACCAATGAACGGAGTAAATTTGCACCGAAATGAACAGTAGGCCTTCATACTGACTAAATATGTCCGGGTTTACTAAATTTAATGCATTTATTACTACGAGATACATATGGTTCACCGCAGGAAACACATCTGTAAGACCTGTGCTTACTTATGTGTTTTGCTTCGCAAATCGCTGTCGTGCTATTTTTCACATTTCCACGCATACGGGAACTCTTAATAAGCAAATGCGAGTCTGAGTGGCTCTGATGGCAAAGTACACCATCGAGTGAACAAGGCATTAGGGATTATTTAAATAAAGTTCAAGGATTTGCGACTGTAGTGTTTGTATGAACTAATTATCTTTTGTACTTGATTCCGAATTCAAAGAAGGATCGCAAAGCAAGCCACAAAGGTGAGAGCAAGTCTAGTAAATTTTCATTCTCATAATTCGTGATTCTGGATGCTTTGAACGCGGTGAGATTGGACACACTCATTGTCAGATACTCCAAACTATCGAGGCGATATTTGCGGCATCGCCTTAATTCTTGACGGATACCGCTTCTCCGAGTTCTTTGTCATCTGGTTTTATTAAAACAATCGGCGTTCCTGTTAGTGACCATGCGGTGTGTGATAATAACCATGCTCAAAAAGGATGAACAGTGTACTTCGTAATACTCGAGGACTAGCTACTTCCTGGTACCAAGAGTTTAGGTTACTATAGCTACGTTGTGGTAACACTGGACATTGCAGCTGACTCTGGTTACATCAGAAGCGTCAGTTATTAAGAGAAGTCGCAAACGCTTACTTGCTCACTGGTTGTGTTTTGAAATAAACAGCGTCAGAGTCCAAACCATCATCACCGGACAAAAGTCCTGTCAAGGAAAATATTGCGTAAGATTGTCCCTCAGCGCTGTGAAGCCAATAATCTCAGGGATATCTCGAACCCATCCCTATGTTATACTTCATAGACCAACAGTGCTTGACACTGGTAATGAACACCCACCGGAGTCGTGTTACTGTATAAATGCTTTGGCATCCCTGTTATAATATGTTGGGTTTAGTAAGTATAGCATTCCCAGTCTAGTACATGTCGTCGAATAAACGAAAAGCACCACCTAAGTGTTGATATGCACACATACCAATACTCATAGTATCCAACCACTAGGTCAAGCCAGTTGATATTTTCTTGGTATTTGATGTTATAGAATGACTGAAGTTCAAATCACTGACTGACTACTTTATCGCAAGTCAGTCGATTCCAGGTCAATGATTAGGGTTACGGCCTTACATAAAACATGCACTTAATTACTAGTCGCACCTTTTTACCTGTTGAGACGGCGTGTGATAAGGTTGGTCAATTTACGACACACAGCTAAAGCAAATGTTTCCTCTACAGAACCGCTTTTATAAAGTCAACTTGCACAAATGTCAATTCTGAGAATACTGATTTTGAATAATGATGACCGGGACCTAGGTTATGAGTCACATATTGAAGGCGCTTGTTTGATATAAACAATATAACGAAAAAGGAACTCGAAACCCAAACATCAGAATAAGAAAAAGAAGAATGAAAATGTTATATTAAAGCATACAGTTCGTTGTATTGAAGATAATCTGAATTGTTAACCGAATTCGTAGACCAAGAATATGGGAAATAATAAGAATCAATGCATAGCTAAACTTGACTTGGTTGCTCGTTAGTGCTAGATGTTGTCTTAGTCGGTTTAGGAGATGAGGAGACAACTGATTTCATTTCGTCCAGTTTTTGTTGTCGAACATCACCCAATAACTGTTCAGGACCATTGTCTCCAACATCCAGTGCTTCACGAGAGCTTTGAGCCAACCTCTTTAGCTCAGATTGAATATCTTTTTGTGAGATCGACGTCCTATCTGCAGTTAATTTATAAAAATCAAATTATTCACTTAATTTAACATGAGAAACGAATTTCATGAATTTCTACAAATTACTTTCGCCAAGAAAGGATAAGAAGCATCAATAACTTCTTAAATATCTTTTGTTTAAGAGCAAACAACTAAAAATCAAAGCTACCAAAAGAATAAGCAGCTTACTGCTTCGCTAAGAAATTTTTCCACGTCACCATTCTTTTAAATGCTAAACAAGAATAAAGGTTTACTATTCAAATACAAATAGCGATCTCAATTTTATGGAAGATACTTACAAGAAAACAACAGATTCCGAGTGAAGTTTGTTCAGAAAAAAACCTGACTTGGTAAAATCTATGGATGCACTTCTGTAAGTTCTTTCAATGTAAGAGAAAGAAACCGATAATAAGATGGCGATAACAACAGAAACAATGACGTTAACGAAAATAATCACGAAGCTGATAGAAAACTTAAAGGATAGGATAATTTTGTGACCAGCTACTACAAAAGTGAACTGATGAATACAAGAAAAACCACATATACTAAAGTAATTACCACATGTACTGAAACGAAAAGCTTCGAAATCCACAATTAGTTAGGAATTAGAAAGACAAAAGTCTGTCTGCTCATAACATTACACTTTGCAAGAGCAGTGAAGAAATAAAAGACAATAAGAATAGAAATACATCGAAGATAGAATCCTCTAAGAATAAAAAAGAGTAGATACATTTAGGCTATTACGACAGATAATAACCGAAGTTACGTTTCATATAAGTAATCACTAAATGGTATTATTCCAAAGTCTTATACGATGGGTCAGCAGTAGGCAGCTTCAAACTAAACATCATGAAGTTTATCCTATACTATTCATAACGACGCCAGTATCATCTGGTGTGGTACAAACGAGCTCCAAGTGGACAATTCACGTTCCTGTAGTCTCGACGATAGCACGTTTACAAAACTGTCTTATGATTTAGTTATCTGTAATCGATTTGAAGGTAGTTCACATCAAACACTAAAACTCGTTTTTGGGAACGTTACTATTTAACTAAGTGCACTTGCGACTTTAATAAATAGTAGAACTTATAGTCACTGGTGTTATATTTACAATAACAACTAATGAGCAACCTAAGAAAGCAAAAAGGTTCAAAAACAGTATTAAAAAACATGCCGATATTTTAGCTAGTTGGTTGTAAAGTGAAGCAAGAAGTAACAACCGCATTTATCGTTGTTGAGTCTGTTTGGGAAAAGATCCTAGCAATGGTATTATATAACTTCCATCACCTCGGTTTGCCTTACCTGTGATTCTTTTGGAACGATACTAAATTTTAATGACTCACATACTGTGTCCTCTACTTACTATTTAAAACTTTTTAGAACTTAATTTGTCTATGGAACAAGTTCCTAGATAATTCCCTGCACTGTCGCACACAGAGTTTTGGCATGACTAACATCAATAATGTCCGCCCATTCCCCCCTACTTTGTATGAACCTTGAGTGTGTCGCTGTTGTATGGTGTTGAAGATGAAGTCATCCCACATAGCAGACTCAGTCCTCTCAAACTATTACGTCTAATGTGTTAACAAGCCTGTTCCCTATACCAAAGTTTAAAGTTAAAGACGCTAATAGGCAAGTAGAATTCGTCTTTAAAATAAGTTGTGTAAAGTTTGTATGAAAGTGAACTGCCTAGTCAGAAACTGTTAGTCGTGAAAGGTAGCTCGATCGAAAGGTGTGGTTGAAGGCGACACACATAAGTTCACACAAAGTAGGGGGGAATGGGCGGACATCATTGATGTTAGCCATGCGATAGTGTAGAGACTTGTTCGATAGACAAATTAAGTCCTCAAATCAGATGCACGTGGAAACTGGTGTAAAAGCATCATCTGTAATCAGCTTATCTTATGAATTAACCTAAGCATGAACAGAAGCAACCAAACATAGCTTTTTCATAAATTCCCCTTGAAGACTTAAAGGTAGCGATCCACCATAAAGGCTGCATACAAAAGCAAAAACTGAACAAATATTCAGATAGGAACTAAATACACATATTGGAATTGAGGAATACTCTTATGATGTGCGGTGTCCGAAATCTGATACTGATACAATGAGCTAAAACCCCCCTCAACTGACTACTTCAGCGAGATCACAAGAGTGAGCGAGAAAGTGCATTGGACTACCGAATGAAATGCATATATATATATATATATATATACCACTCTAACCTTAGAAAATTGACCCAACGAAATGCACTTGACCTTCGGGTCACTTCTGATTGCCATCGATAGACAGTTTAATTAGGCTACATCTGACTGCCTCTCCATGTCAAATGTTTTAATTAAAGTAAAACCGAAGTGCAGGTAGCTGTAGAGGTAACTGAGTTACAAGTAACACAATATAATATCAGATATCAAGTTCCAAAAAGCCATTACGATAATTCCACTTAAACCAAAGTTTTGTACATTATGAATTAGGTTATTCAAAAAATATACACCTAAGCAGTAAAATTATACATATAGCATCCGCAATAAACTATCTTATAAGAATTTCAATACGGTCAAATAACATATTCCTTAAGTGATAAAAGCAGCGTTCCTATAATACATTGAAGATTAACAAACATATTTCAACAAAACTTGTCCAATTACCTAGAGAACCTTGTGTACTCAGTGATGCAGATGTACCAATACCGCCAACTCCACCAACAACAGGTGTGCGTTTGCTAAGCAGACTGTTGAAAAAATTGGCTAATACACCTTCAGAAGCCCCTGGTCCAGGTCCACCTGTTGTCCCAGCAGCTCCACCAACAGCTGAAGGAGGCTAAAAACAAACAAGATTTGAGTGGTAAACGGAAGTGGAGAAAAGACGACAATGTAAAAGCAGATATAACGTTTACTTTGAAACTATTCGTTCAAATTTAGACGAAAGTTCTTATTTACAGATATAAAGTGTTGCTACTTATCGAGATTCTACAAATATGGCATTATTTTGTTGTTTACATTCTACTCAATTAACTCGAACTTTAGTATTGGTACATACAGTGTTTGGTTTAGTATTAAGAACCTAGAAAAAAACCATTTTATCCGGACTATATTAGCTAGAAACTGCAGACATTGATGAAAATAAAAAATAAATCTACTTTAAATCAATATATTAGCTGAGTCAGACAAAAAACGCTGAGTGAAACCATATATTAAGTTTTTCCAACTACAAAGAAGGGAGAGTAGTTGAAGCTTTTCATATAATGCCTAATCATACTGATCTCCATAGAAAAGAAGGCCTCATCATACCTCCGGATTCAACTATCTATCCAAGCTACCATGTCTGATTCTATTCACATCTCACACTGTTATCGTACATATAAATTAAACTCTATCCTTTTGCACCACAAAGGTTACGTTTTTACATCCCTAACCTTGCACACATACATACACAAAAAATCTACATACATGTCGCTTGTAAATCACCTTGACCGAAATGACATGACAATGACTTGTTCAGACCTGTTTTTTTTATTGACTGCACATAATATTTTTGCGTAGTTCCTTTGTACTATTTTAACTCGGATTAGTTTTGATTTTGGTTATTTATTCTCTGAAGAAGTGGCTTACAGTGAGTCACGAAACGTCAGAAAATCTAATTTTACCACTCATTGGGATATTGCAAATATATTATTTATTTATAACAATCTACCCAATGCTCAATTGATTCGAAATTATCAAGTTGAAACTTGGTAGTGATACCTACATATCGATAATGCAATGACCGACGAAATCATTTACCTAAGCTGATGTCCAGTTGAAAAGGTCAGATGGTTCTTTATAATGATCTATATGTAGAAAACTGACATGGAATGGTCAATTTACGAATTTCCATAGCTGGATTCCATTGAGTAGAAAGAGGAATTTAACTCACACTTAATCCTCAAGGATTAGGCGAATATCTACTAATGACACAATAAGACGACGAACTCCTTCAACTTCAACAGATATTCATCAGGAATGATTATCCACTTAGATTTGTCAATAGAAACTTAACAGCAAGACAACGTCCTGAAAAAGCACCAACAGTTCAAAAGAAAACTTTTTATGAATATCAAATTTAAAGGAGATACGACTGCCGAACTCTTAGAAAAACGGATTTCAAAATCCCTGAATAAAACCTTCAATTCAGCTAAGCTCCGAATTGCATTCTCAAGCCGACCTACCATTCACGCATGTGTTGAGGATGAAATTCCGCTTTGGGTCACATAGATGTGCATCTATGAATTCACCTGCTCCTCTGAGACAGGTTACATTGGCCACACAAAGCGATCATTTTCCAAACGCATCTCAAGGCATTACCCATTGTAGCTTTTAAAAGGGTAATGCAAAAAATACCAGTTCAATAGAGGGGTACCTAATCAACTCTGGACACGTCGCTTCGAAGGAGTCTTCCCTTAAGAGCTACACAATCAAAGGAACCGGATCGAAGGGAGGCCGAATTAAAAACTTATGCACTGTTGAAGCGTTGACGATCCATCAGTTCAAGCTTGTGCAAAAACGATACGTCCAACCTCTCATTATTATTAGTGGCTTTATTCAATATGATATTTTGGTACAATATAGAGTTGTCAGCACAGGGTTTTTCAACAAGTTTCTTACACGAAAAAAAAATCTGAAAAAAACTGTAAAACTTTTCAAATTAGAGACATGTTAAGAATGAAAGTTATTGACTAGGTTAACTCTAACAACCTGTTCGTCACAGAGTATATTTGCTAGGTAAGGTATTATAGAACTCTTATACTTTCGCTTGCGTGCATGGATTTTAATGTATTTACATCTCGTTCTACCAGAAAATATACAAGGAGAAAGATAAGAGTGAAGGGGATGGCTAGTATCTGATAAAATAACACATGCCAGGAGTTTGCATGACTTTAGATGTCTATCCACAACCATATTAATTATGACCTCGAAAGATTCACCACACACCTTGCTAACTGCTTTCAGCACTTTCCGCAATACAGCAAAGTCTTTTCTCAAACGCCCGGGAAAGAATAATGGAGAACAGTAAAGAATAATAGGTAATAAGCAAGAATTGACAAATTGTAAGAGTAAATATCGAGTAATTCCAAGAGCATGCAATTTCTTTATGTAGTAAGTCAGACGGAAAACCTTCTTTGATAACAATAAAGCGTGAGACGGCCAAGAGAGATCAGAGTTAATACAACCTGAAACTTAGGAGATTCGTCCCTGAACCACTGGGGATTACCAGTAGTTTGGTAACACCATATCATGTCGCGAAATTATTTTTAACAAGAAATTACTAGTGTATTCATTCTTCAATCGGTAACTAATGTATAATTTAGTTTACGTGCTGTTGTGTTGCAACTACTGCAATATATCGTGAAACACATTGAAATAGTCTGAGTTGATGTGAGATTAAAGAAAATGAAATGCTAAAACTTTTTATCTCACATAAACCGGAATTACTTATTTTCATTGGTTCATATAGTCTATACACTGACTTTTCTCTGCCATCAATTATACAGTCAGGTTGATAAACAGAATTATCTAAATGTATGCCTATCGATTATAGTTATACCAAATTTTCTGTTTCTTTTCTTATCGATCGTTAGGACATGGCTAATCATGATGTAGATCATTATCATTATTTGATCGATTTGTACACATATATGGCAATCTAGTGACTACAAACAAAACGACTACTAGTGAATTAAATGATACAAAGGTAATGTGATAACGATATAAAACTGTATATAAACAAAAACATTTTGAAATAATAGTTGAATTAAACTGCCTACTACTTGAAAGTGACGACATAAAAATTAAAATAAAGTAGACAAGAATATAATGTTATTAGATTGAGGAATCCTTGAATTTAGTTAAAGATGAATTATTTTAGTCTTTCCAAGGCAAAGTATTTAAGTGGTGGTGTACTTAGGGATCATCTAGTCCCGAGATATTTTAGATATACTTAAAGGAAAGTTAAGAGAAATACTAACTAACGAATCGAAATCAAATTAAAGCTAGAAGTGTCGAATCTAGGTTTTGCAAAATAATGAGGATTTCAACGACAGCAAAAAAAACGCGATACCGTATCACAATTTTATTCTTCAGCACTGTGATGTGACAATAATCTTCAGTAGATATGGTATTTATCATAAGATTGGAGAACAAAATCAATGGATAATGAGTGATTTAATTCAAAAGCCATCTGGAGGATTGTGTACTATCAGATATATATGTTGTATTAAAGCTAATGATACAACTTATTCCTCCAAACTCCTTTAGGTGGAACTATGTGGACCATGTGATCAATGGGTTGGTGGCCCTTTATCTTAACTAAGTGGGATTTATACCGTCTTTATAATGGCCTATTCAGTATGCTGCACTGATGGATCTAACAGAGAATCACATGTAATATTTAGGATATTTGTAAAGATAAGATCGAAATATATAACGCATTGGAATATTTAATTTGAAAACGATATCCAATACACTATAAACTTCCCGAAGTTTGAAACTTGTTAACACAAACCTCAGTTTCGATCATTTCGATAAAAATATACAAGATACTTTTATGTAAATCCTATTTGCTGTAGTACTTACTTTTAAAGGCAGGGACTTTAGTTTAAAAAAATTCGCACACTGTCTCATCAGAATCTTATATATTCATATACGTAAGCGAAATATTGTTTATTGGTAGCCCATGAAGAACAGTTGTTACAGTGACAACATTAAGAAAACGCAAACAAGCTTCAGAAGTAAAATAAATTAAGCTTGATTCTGAAATAACTAATACCACTAGCATTAATAGAACAAAACATATTGCCTTTGTAAACAACAATTTCAGATAGTCAAGACTACGAATAACATACACATCAAATAATAAATAATGTTGTCGAGTCGAGCAAGTAAAACCTAAAACAATGCATTTTAGAACAATAATCCAAAACAATGAAAAACTTAAGCGCCAAATAAATGAAAAGCTTTAGATCCAGGTTTTGTACGTCCATATATTATAGCTGAGGAAAATCATCTACGCACAGAACAAATTTACGACTACTTCAAAATTTCAATACACGAGAATGAATGCTTTAGATGATGACTAGTGGACGATTTTCATCACAAACTGACAAAATCACTAAATGGATTCAGAAAACTCGTTTGGCTTTTGACAACTTACGTCACCTGTGATGAAAGCGAGATATCCGTCTTTCAATAGAAGTACGAGTATACAGCTCAACATTTCGTTCTGTTCTACTTTACATCTGTGAAACGTGGCCATTATGAGTAGAAGATACTCGTAAGTTACTAGTATTTGATCACAGATGTCTTAGAAATATTGCTCGCATCTGCTAGGATCACCAGGTAAGTAATAGTGAGGTTAGACGCATAGTATTAGGGAACGATGATGAATCAATTGATGAGGTTGTAGACCTTCATCGACTGAGATGGTTGGGCCACGTGTTACGTATGCCTGGATACCGATAACTACGACGCGCTATGCTGACTAGTGTTGGGGATGGTCGGAAAAAGTCAGTCAGTCAGTAGCAAAGTAGAACTTTGTAGGTACGTACATCAATTCGAGTTACCACACCACATTAGCACAGAGATCCAGTGGTCGATTCAAATCCCGTAGTGGTAGAGGTAATAAGAGTATAAGCAGTAATCGGAAAGATTAGGGTTTGGAGATGTTACTTAAAGAGTATACAGTGAAATAAATTTGGAAAGAGAAAAAGAGACAAGGAGGATTCAGGAGAACACAAAGAGTGTATGCACCTGCGCCATTGCAAACGATTTTGAGCCATGTCATTCAGGGTCTCTAACCATCGGTTGCTATCATCTCGCGGTCCCCAACCAGGTAGTCTACACCTACCGACATGACTCAGACCACTTGTCAGTGACTTCATGGACTTGTTCCATGTTTCGGTCTGGCCGCCCTTAGCTTTCTTCCAACCTACTCCTATACCATTGAACATCGCACGTCGAGGTAGTCGGTCGTTGGGCATACGTAACACGTGTCCCAGCCATCTCAACTGATGAAGTTTCACTACTTCATCAATTGATTTTCCATCCTTACCTAGTACCCGTTTCCCAACAACTGTGTTACTTACTCGATTAGTCGGAAAAAAGTTAGGGGCGGCCAAACCAAAACGTGGCATCATTTCTTGAAGTCACTAACTTCTGGTCTGAGCCATGCAGACTACTTGGTTGTGGTCTGCGCGACTATCGTAACCAATGGTTGGAGACTCTGTGTGAAATGGCTGAGAATCGATCACAATGGCGTGAGTGTATACATTCTTTGTCTTCCCTCAAACTGTGAGCTTAAAATTAATTTAGACTTTTCTTTCTACGAACCAGTTCTTTCTTCCTGTATCATATTCTTATATGCAATATTTTTTTAATATGTATTGCTACCAGTGACGTAATTGCCTCCACGAATTCGGTGTTCATCTTGTTGTACTAATGAAGTATGGCAACTTGGATCAATTTATATATGTGCCTAGTCCTATGTTGTAGCTGACTGACTTTCATGCCGCATAAACTTTCGTAGGGCCAGATAAATATAATCCTAATAGGTAGTAAATTTTGTACTTTACGTGTTAATGCTGATTAGCATATTGCAGAGCAGTTCTTTATTAATAAGGATGAACATTTTCACTATCAGTATGTAGTGGCCAGATTTATGGTGATCATAAATCTTTTGAAACAGTTATCAAACTGTAGGCTCTCACAAATGAAGAAAATTATTAAATGTAGAAAATAATCCTTTGGAAATTAAAAGTAGTCGTGAAAATTGAAATGACAGATCTTGTTTACCAAATAAATTAAGTACCGTGACAAAAATATTTGGTCGAATACCTTTGATCTACCAGCAGAACCAGGTGTACGAGGAGATCCAGAAACTGGTCTACTTCCAACATTGGAAGATGTATTCATCAAGGCAGTAGTTGTTCCAAGCTGATCCATGACAGAATCCGAATTACCAGATATTGTATTATTTGAAATATTTGCTTGAGCATTATCTCTTTGCATACTGACCGAGAGGCGAGTAAGAAATGACTATATATGAAAAAACACTAGATAATTATAGATGCTATGTGAAAATTATGGCTAAAAAAATTCAGTGCCAAAAGTGAAAAGTGTACGGTAGTTTTATTAAATCCATCCAAACTCAAAATAAAGACATTTAAAACTAAATATTTTGACTACGTACACGATTTGACTGTTGAAACGACTGATATAATGTTGCAGTCAATTGATAGCAACTGAGGAAACCAAATATAGTAACTCGTCTTATTAACAGCCTCGAACCCTAATGATAATCAAAAAACTTGAACAGCTGGTCAGGTTTGCATTGTCACACTATGTAACTTGCTGAAATGAAACAATTACTTACTTACGCCTGTATGATTTAGAAGGTTACGTAGACCAACTATGGGACCATATGTACAAACTTAAACCAATAACTACTGGTGAACAATCGCGAGCGACATATGTACTTTAGGATCTAAATAATTGTAAGCACGTCTGGATATAGCGTAACAAAATAAATGTAGCACATAGCCCTCCATCCAATGGACCATTCAAAGTTATCTCAAGGGAACCTAAATATCAATAAGTTACTTAAATTTATCTCAATATTCTTCGCAATGCCATAAAACCTGCTTAAATATGGCAGATATTATGCTAACGTTACTGAAACATGTGTTTCATTGCATTTCTGAAATAACTTAAAGTGGCCTATTCACAAAACTTATGTACCCATTAGCTGTTTGTGAATAATAATAATAATTTCTTAGACTGAAACTTGCTCACTTATGCCTCTTATCCCTCGTGGAAGAGCATTGGCTGATCATTAGCATTCTCCATCCAACTCTGTGCTGAGCAATCCTTTCCAGTTTTTATTCATCCTTTTCATGTTTGCTTCCAATTCTCGACGTAGTGTGTTCTTTGGACTTCCTCCTTTCCGTTTTTTCCAAGATTCCAAATTACGGCTTGCTTCGTGAAACAGTTTGATGATTTCCATAATGTATGTCATATCCACTTCTAACGTCTTTTCATAATTTCCTTTTCAGCTGAAGCTGGTTTGTTCTCTCCCACAGTAGGCTGCTGCTGATGCTTTCCGGTCAACAAACATTAAGTATCTTACATAGACAATTGTTTCTAAATACCTGCACCGTTTTGATGATGGTTGTAGTAGTTTTCCAAGTTTCAGCTCCGTACAGTAGGACAGTCTTGACGTTCGTATTGTAGATTCTGACTTTGATATTGGTTGACAGTTGTTTAGAGTTCCACATGTTCCTCAATTGTTGAAATGCTGGCTTTGCTTTGCCAACCCGTGCCTTCACGTCTGCATCGGATCCTCCTTGTTCATCGATGATGCTGTCCAGGTACGTGAAAGTTTCCACCTCTCCCAGAGTTTCTCCATCAAGTGTGATTGGGTTGATGCTTTCCGTGTTGTATTTCAGGATCTTGCTTTTTCCCTTGTGTATACTGAGGCCTACTGATGCAGGGGCTGCTGCTACACTCGTTGTCTTCATCCGCATTTGTTCGTGTGTGTGGTATAGGAGGGCCAGATCATCTGAGAAGTTCAAATCGTCTAATTGATTCCGAGCTGTCCATTGTATTCCGTGTTTCCTCTCAGCTAACGAGGTCTTCATAATCCAGTCAACCACCAGGAGAAAGAGGGAGGAGCAGAGTAAGAGACCTTGTCTGACTCCGGTCCTCACTTCCAATGCATCTGTCAACTGTCCTCCATGCACCACTTTGCAGTTTAGTGCCTCCCATGAATTCTAGATCATGTTAACGATCTTATCAGTTAATCACTGATAGTGTCGAAGGAGTTTCTATAAAGTCCTCCTATCCACATTGTCAAACGCCTCCTCACAGTCAATAAAATTGATGTATAGTGTCGATATCCACTCAACTGGTTGTTGAACGATGATCCGTAATGTTGCGATTTGGTCTGTGCACGACCGATCCCTGGGGAATATGGTCTGGTGATCTGGAGGCTGGGCGTCTACTGAATCTTTCATCCGGTTCAGCAACACTCTGTTGAAACGTTTACTGATACTGACAGTAATGTGATGCCTCTGTAGTTCTCACACTTGCTCAGATCTCCTTTCTTTGATATCTTGATGAGGTGCCGTTTTTCAGTCTGTAGGTGGCACTTGTTTCCCCCCCCAAGTCTTCCTGAATAGAACGAGGAGCATCTTTGCAGTTACTTCGATGTCTGACTTCAGTGCTTCGACTAGCATATTGTTAGGTCATGCTGCTTTCCACTTCTGATTTGGCTGGTGTCTATCCTGATTTCTTCGGTCGCTGGTGAAGTGACATCTACAGGAAGAGCTGTGTGTACTGCTTCGACGTCCGGGAGTGTTTAGTGGGGCTGGTCTATTCAAGAGTTTCCAAAAATGTCCCACTCATCTCTTCTGCTCTTGAATCTGAGTGATTGTCTTGCTTTCCTTGTCATTGACCGGTCTCTCTGGTTTACTACATATTTGTTGACAGACATAGCATATGTACCATAGGTGATACAATTTAGCAAAAAATTAGGTGAGTTTTGTATTGCTGTCGTGATTTTACTTCACTAAAGCTGATGGAACTAACTTAAGAAAATGAACGAGTCAAATAGGACAGGTTTTGAACCAGAACCATGATATCCATCTTTAGTACTCGTTATTTTCTAAAAGGTTAGCAAATTCACATGAACTTATATCTCTATGAGACTGAAATTTGACTGAGTAGTAGGTATTCATAGATACTATTTAGAAATTATGAAGGTCAAGATTAAAAGCCACCCACAGAACAGTTCCCGAAAATACATAAATTAGAAATACTTCTGTTTTCATGATTATGCTCGTGCTGATTGAGAAAATGTTAAATTAAATAGATAATTAAAATTGCATGTCAAATAGGGCAAATTCACGATGAATATAAGATTTCCAGAAAATGTATTAATCTACGAAGCCACTATCTCCTGGAACCTAAAAGCTCTTAAAGGAACCTAAATCATAGTTACATTTATGAACCGCGGACTTAAGTTCCACAAACCCAAGCCCTACAGGTGCCTTGAGAATTGTCTAACTTTCGAAACATTGATAGTTATATTTTCGTAATTGATTACAAACTTCATTCATAATCAGCATAGAGCTTGGGACAGTAGCTTTCAGATGAACATTATTTAGCACTCCTGGTTACATTTATCGTAAACATTACTATCTAATGATAGATATCAACATTTCTGATGATTTGCAAGAATGAAGTACTCTCTAGACAAAATCTCAGTTATTGATTACCCTTAAACTTGCCACATTACGAACATATTATACAACCCACTTGGTCATCTTGAGTAAATAGTTCCGGTTCGCGAACTGCTGCTTTTTTCGACGGTGGTGGAGGAACTACGTCAGAATACAGACTATGCGGTTGAACTTGAGTAAGGTTTTCCTCAAGAATTCCAATTTTCTTTAGGTTATCCCATCCGGCTGGACTGTAAGTTAATTATTTACCTTAGGTAAATTGAAGACTTACACGAAAATACAGTCTCTTTCGACAACATACGCAGTTTGACTGAATGGAAAACCGTAGATACGACTTTGTAGATAACGATTTAGCAAATCACAGTTCTTGTCCTCCTTTACTGACACATAAAACAGTGCCGCTCCATCTAAATGAATATAAAAATTGATAATCATTTGAAGTGGTAAGAAGTCAGTGAATATTACAGAACATCATGTATTTGAAATGAGAAACAGAAAGAAACTGTGAAGTCATTAACTAGGGAGTAATTTTAACTTACATGTGCAGGAAAACCAATTATTTTAAAATGACAAACAAGTCCTATATCAAGACAATTCACAATCACTGAAATTACTGACTATTTACATCATTTAGAGGTGTCAGGACATATAATATGGTTATTTTAAACTCTGCAAACAACGAAAAGTGACAACATTCACATTTTCATAGTTTAACCATTACAAAAATCCTTCTGTTCAAATCTTTGGTCTACTCAGCATTGTCGATTATTCAGAGTTTGTCTTCCTTTATTGTCTGATGTGAGCTAAATTTAGAGACTGTTACCTTTTATACATTCAATAAAATAAAATTGAACTAGTTTCACAAGTGAATACTTAGCAGATTATTTAAACGTACACAGATGCACAAGACTGTGGTTTATAAAAATTTCAAAAACATGCGGATAAACGATACCATGTCACCGAGATAGAAACTTGATTACAGTGAAAAACAACACAGTGTTTCAAAGAATTAAAGTTATCCACCTCTACTTTGTCGGAGTCAGTGATTGAAAACCTCAGGTGATATGGTTTAAAATCGGCAGCAGTGGTGTATAATAATCATCCTTCTATTAGACCTTGAGTTCTAATACCATTTCAAACAGTTTACTTCTTTTCTGTTGTTCTAGGCATCCTTAGATGAATAATACCGGGGGTCCAGTTTGGTATATTGAGCCTATCTGGTTTTCATACTGTAAGCTATCAACGGGAATAACTGAGAAATGTTTATACTTATTGGTTGGACATATTCTATGACAGCGTGTTGTTATTACTGCTTCGTTATTCCCTCTTGTTTTTTTGAGTTCTGACATACACCAAGTCACCAGAAACAACAAAATAAGTGATTATTTGTTATTGGTCTACAATTACGGCTTGATAGTTATAACTGTCACATGATTATTAGTGGTTTATAATATATTGCATGTATCAAGCCGAGATATTTTATGCTGAATAATTTGTTTTTGACATTTAATACATCTTTTCCTTGGGAAGTGTACGACAACAATATGTGAACATAATAAATATTTTTTCATGTGGTTTATCAAAAATGACTTGGATTTCTCTAGATATCTAAGCAAAAGTTCCATTTTCTACTGTTAGTCTACGAATGCTGTCAACGAAACGCAGGTGGTTGCTGTTTTCCACTCACCAACTCTATGAGACGATAAATCTTCCAAAAAATTTGAAAAAAAGGATCATTAGAATAGGATTTGCTGACATGAGCATGAACGCAAATCAAAAGAAACAACTGCACGAAATCAGTTATGTACATAATTTTATCAAAGCATCTTTGATGCATTTACTTCATAATTTACGAGTTATGCCACCATCATTGGAAGTTCATACAGTAAGATGAGATGTAGTATCTGAGATAGGGCTTCTCATAACCTTCTGTTCGTTGTGAGGACATCAGTTAGTCATCTACAACATAGGACTAGGCACATATATAAATTGATCCAAGTTGCCATACTTCATTAGAACAACAAGATGAATACCGAATTCGTAAAGTAGAACAGAACGAAATGTTGAGCTGTATACTCGTACTTCTATTGACAGACGGATATCTCGCTTTCATCACAGGTGACGTAAGTTGTCAAGAGCCAAACGAGTTTTCTGAATCCGTGTAGAGATTTCATTAGACACCAACTCTTCAGAGCTGAGCAGACTTTCAAGAGAAGTGAAGTTGTCAAAGAGTTCGACTACTTCTCTACCTATCCTTAGTTCAAATGTTGACGCAGGTCAGTCCTGAAGCAATAATTTGCATTTACAGGGGAAGAAACATATCCCAAACATCTTGGCATTGTTACATATTTCTACCAAAAGACTGCATTTTATCAGCATCTTCACCAAACAGAACTATATCATCTAGGCATTCCAAGTCAATAAGTGAACCACCTAGTAGGAAGTCCATTCCTGAAACTTCAGGCGACGAGTACATTACTTCCAGCAGTCGGTCTGTGATGAAATTAAACAGAAAGAACAATTGATTGATCACTGGGTGGTGATCAATGTCATGCTTGTCTAGTCCTTATTAGTGCAGATCGAATGCTATCGATCATGTTGCAATGTGGCCACCAGTCTAGGTGACTCGACACTGTGGGCACTATGTATTGAGATTTAGATGGTGGTTGGAGGTAGTCAACAGGAAACCCTGGACCCGGGTTTCGTGCTACTTGGCACTCGTCAGCAAGGTGTACCTGTAATCTTGATCTGCACTAATAAGGATTAAACAAGCATGACATTGATCACCACCCAGTGATCAATCAATTGTGATTACATCTCAGTCCTACAGGAGGTTAGTCACGGCTCGGATAGCTCAGTGGTAACGTCTCTGACTGTGAAGCTGGGTGACACGAGATCGAATCCGCCAGGGAGCACCAGTTCCCTCAAGATTACAGGTACACCTTGCTGACGAGTGCCAAGTAGCACGAAACCCGGGTCCAGGGTTTCCTGTTGACTACCTCCAACCACCATCTAAACAGAAATAAAGATGGTGGATAGCCTTGCTAGACACAACTTGTGGTTACAAAATCGGATGACAGTTCGCCACAAGCTCTGACTCGACTAATAGTGTTCAAGTAAGGAGACTTCACAAGGTTTATGTACTTTTGAGGTACACTTTACAATGACAGACACTGCCACAGAACCCCTCGGTCTACAGAGTCAAATTCAGCTTTTAAGTCAAGAAAAACTATAATTGTCGGACGCCGACGGGCATGTTTGTGTTCTAAAACCTGACGAATGGTGATTATATGGTCGATGCAGCCACGACCGGGTCTCAAGCCAGCTTGATTTTCACGAGTGTTTGTTAAGCGTTCGATAATTATTAAGGCTAGTATTTTAGATGCTATATTAGTTAAACTGATCCTTCTATGGTTATTATAGGATGATTTTGACCCCTTCTTATATATTGGGACAACCAGTGATTGCGACCAGTCAGATGAGATTGCGTTCAACTCCCAGATTTTAGCTATAACTTAAGTCAAACTAATCGCTAAAACTGGCCACCATACTTAAAGACCTCTAGAGTTAATCCATCTGAAGCAGCAGCCCTTTCTCGTTTCAGATTATCTTATCTGTAGCTTTTAGAACTGCCATGAGAGTCAGGTGGCCTATCTCAATGTCTCTTTCAGGCTGTTTGGGAATGATGGGCAGTTGTAGAGTAGCTGAAAGCCAGCTGAACTGTTCCTTAAAGTTTTGCACCCATCGTTCTAAACGTCTAGAGTGAGAGCAGATAAGTGTCGTCTTTCTCGGAGATTGTCTCACACTTGACTTCTTAGTTCCAGTTTCTTTTATTAATCTGGAAAGCTGTCTAGTGTTATCTAAAGCTGCTACCTTTCCCATGTCTTTTGCTTTCGTTGCCCACCACTGATCGTAGACTTTCGGTTAACCTAGATCTGATTTGTTTTCATTCGTCATCGTGTTCGGAGTCTGATGGGATGAGTCTACAAGAGTTTATCAGTGCAATAGAGGTCACAGACATCCATTGGTTTTTCGTGATCCTTTAGTTCAAATCACTAATAGATGTTGCTGCTGTTTCTACAGCTGTACGCATACCTTCCCAAACAACATCTGGGTCCGCCTCGTTTTCAAAATCGCTTAAGTGTGACTTCAGTTGTTCCTCGAATTTACCTTTGATTTCCTCATCGTTGAGTTCAACTCTAATTGGTCTTTTTATTGTGGTTTTTCTGCGTCCAGTGAGGCGCAAATAAATGCGTGTTCGTATTAGAGCATGATCAGTCAAAACATGTATTCCAAAACCAGCGACAGTCTTCTACTGAGCCTCTCCAACGATGACTGATGACATTATGGTCTATTTGAGTCCATCGTAAGTTTGGCGCAAGGGGTCCCCATGTTAGGCGATGTCTCTCCTGATGCTTAAAATTAGTGCTTTTGGAAATAAACGATTGTTTAAGCAGTTTCAGCAGACGACCACCATTATCTGTTCGCTGAGCCTCCAAATGCCTTGGTACGGCCGAGGGTTGGGAGAGTCCGCTCTCCCTCTCGAAATACTCTCATATGGCCACGCGTATACAGCCACTGTCAGAGAAGTCCAACTCGCTGTCTTCTCGAGACGGGGTGTTGTTTACGAGATTGAGAGGGTGAAAAGAGCGAAGGTCCGGCGCTTTAACCAGGTTAATGGACATGGACGGTACACCTCAGTCAGTCAGTAACAACGTAGAACTTCGTACGTACGTACGTCAGTTCGAGTTACCACACCACATTAGCACAGAGATCCAGTGGTCGATTCAAATCCCGTAGTGGTAGAGGTAATGAGTATAAGCAGTAATCGGAAAGATTAGGGTTTGGAGATGTTACTTAAAGAGTATAATACAGTGAAATAAATTTGGAAAGAGAAAAAGAGACAAGGAGGATTCAGGAGAACACAAAGAGTGTATGCACGTGCGCCATTGCAAACGATTTTGAGCCATGTCATTCAGGGTCTCTAACCATCGGTTGCTATCATCTCGCGGTCCCCAACCAGGTAGTCTACACCTACCGACATGACTCAGACCACTTGTCAGTGACTTCATGGACTTGTTCCATGTTTCGGTCTGGCCGCCCTTAGCTTTCTTCCAACCTACTCCTATACCATTGAACATCGCACGTCGAGGTAGTCGGTCGTTGGGCATACGTAACACGTGTCCCAGCCATCTCAACTGATGAAGTTTCACTACTTCATCAATTGATTTTCCATCCTTACCTAGTACCCGTTTCCCAACAACTGCGTTACTTACTCGATTGTCCCATGATATACGAGCAATGTTTGGAAGACACCTATGATCAAATACTAGTAACCTACGAATATCCTCTATTCTTATCGGCCATGTTTCACTGCCATAAAGTAGGACGGGACGAACTGCTGCGCAGTAAACACGTCCTTTGCTTGATAGACGGATATCTCTCCTACACCATAAATGACGCAAGTTGGTAAAAGCTAGTCGAGCCTTCTGTATCCATGCTGAGATTTCGTCACACACCAGGCCACAAGGGCTGATGAGACTTCCAAGATAAGTGAAGCGATCGACACGCTCCATTACTTCACTCCCTATCATTAGTTCGGATGTCAATGCGACCCAATCCTGAAGCAATATTTTGCATTTCGAGGGGAGAATCGCATCCCGAACATGCTTGCATTGTTGCTTAGAGTGGTCAGAAGACTGCATTTTGTCAGCGTCTTCACCAAATAAAACTATGTCATCAGCATATTCTAAGTCAACAAGTGAATCTCCCGGTTGAAGTTCAACCCCTGGAAATTTAGATGAGGAGAGTGTTATCTCTAAAAGCATGTCAATAGCAAAGTTAAACAAGAATGGAGAGAGTGGACAGCCCTGACGAACACCACTTGAGGTAATCAATTCTGATGACAGTTCGCCATAAGCCCTCACTATATCAGTCAAACTGATTCCTCTGTGATCGTCACAAGAGGACTTTTTTCCTTTCTTATAGACTGGCACAGTCAGTGATTGAGACCAGTCAGATGGGATTACGTCTAGTTCCCAAATTCTACCTAAGACCTCAGTTAATCTCACTGCTAATACTGGACCACCATCCTTAAAAATCTCAGGAGTTGGAAGACCTTGATTCCAAACCAATAGTGTACATGGGCTCCAGAATCCTAAGAAAACAAATGGTGTATAAACCAGTCGTTAATCACCGGTTATCATGGGACTGCATGTCCTGACGTTGCCTTGTGGATCAGACCTTTGGGTCGAAGGCTCCGGGTGTGGCCCTCTAAGAAAACCACCAGCTTTGGTTTGAGAACCCGGGCAGTATCACAGCCCACACAAAAACCAAGTGACTTATGTGGCGCATATGTATCCGGCGCCCTTTTGTACCAATAAATAAATACTAGTATACCCACCTAAATGTCTTTGTTTGGTTTAAGCTACCTACTTGAGCATTAAAGCCACCTGCTACGAGTACTGTCTGAGTGTTTAGCTTTTTGAATATCAGAAGGCTTTCTGTAAAACTCATCCTTCACCTCATCCGAGCTGCAGTCAGTGGGAACGTAGGCAACAACGACGAAAAGGCAACGACGGGTGTCCCTAACCTTCCGAGTTCTTACGGAGCCGTTCAGCTGAAAAATACATAGGCAACTTTCAACAGGGGTCCACTTTAAAAGTGCTTGTTCTGCCCTCATAATAAATGCTATGCCTACACCCTCAAGTCCACGAGAACTTGCCATTGGGTCGCCAGATAAACGGAGGGTGTACCTCTTCGGCTTCCCGTTTTAGTTAGGTGAGGTCAAATGAATGACCACACTAGGATCCTCCATGTGTTACGGAGACACAGCATACACCGATTGCATGAGATTTTAGTATAATTCAAAGAGGTCTGCTGACCGATTTCATATAGAGTCCGTACATTGAAGGACCCAATGTATAGTTTGGAGCGAGGTTTCAGTAGACCTAGGACAGTATTCTGTGTACTAGAATCGTTGGTCATAGTGACACTTGAGCAGGAAGTATAGAGTTGATAGTTGATGTAGGAGGAATAATCGGAATTAAAGAGGGAAATCGATTACGAATATAGTGGTCTTGAGTACTGTTAGAGGTATGTGAGTGGTCGTCAATTTCCAGTTGTCCACATCGTGGAAGGGTTCTTCTAGAAATACCTGAAGGAGAAATCGGGTTAGAGGTGGTCTTAGTGACCTGAGAGCGTGACCACAGTGCCCAAGGGACAATTGCTTGAGGTCGGTCACATAAAACATTTTCCTGGGTAATTTTTGTGTTAACTCCGTACGTGTTGAGACATTATCGCCGGAGACGGAAATTCGTGGGATAAGGTGAGGTGTGTGTTTTTAGGGTTGACCTTTTCTAACCCCATCCCTTCTTTGTGAGAAGGCAGCATCGCTGTTATGTTGGTTGAGGGAAACAACTTACGGTCGTCACACCCCTGTATAGTCAGCCGTACGACTTCGCCCTCAGACTTTGAGAAACGAATGTTTCAGCCAGTATAGTCCGATTAATTTATCACGGTAGGCAAGCCCGACCACCACGTGAAGATAGCAGCAACGGTCGGGCATCAAGGTTATAGGTGCTGTTTATTGGTTGGGAACACCTTGGTCCTCACTGATCTACCGTAAAAGACAATTCAGCTGGACGACAATAATCCCATGAATGAACTAGTGAGTAATGAAAATTAACCTTACTAGACCGGTAGAATGAGAAAATGAACACGTTTGATGGTAGCAACAATTTTTTGGTACGATAAACGACAGTTCCCGGTGGTATACAGTGAAAAGGTTAATAGAACAATACATTATTAGAGTGCATACATGCGACAGTTTTTCAGCGTTAACTCCCTAATAAATTCCATCAAAGAATGAACATTGATAGTCATCATTGAGGCCATTAAAATAATATAGTTTAATAAATAATGACATTAAAATATCTACACGAAAAGCGAACAATCAAGAAGCACTAATTTAACTAGGTCTATAGGATCAACAAAAATAACTACAGTACTTACAGGACAAACAAAAACGTCGAACATGCATTTGAATGAAGTCAAAGTGTTCTTCTGTGAACTGATTTTCTTTTTCCAGAGCCCCCATAGAATCAGCCTTAAAAATGAACAAAATGTTTAATAAACTTAGTGGACAGTAACAAATATAATGTATCAAACAATCACCTAAAGAACTGGAAAATTAGTTTTTGCATACAAAGCGAATAAAATAATTGGTGAAATTTACGAAGAAGTAAATTACGGATCATTTTTAAATGACATTACAGTAGACTTATTGACCACTTAATCTTGTGGAATTAAAATGATTTAGATGAGTAATATGAAGTAAATACATTGTTGGTAGTATATGCTACATGAATTAAGCTATCCTACGGGACACAGATTAAAGATTGATAAACTCAAGATAATTGCTCTGTTGGCTGTCTGTCAGTTTACTTCAGTATAGTTTTTTACGTACCTTTGTCATCACTACAACTATTGGAATCCCCAAATTGTTGATTAGAGCATTTTCATCAGTGTTTGTCTCCATAGAAATGTTTGCTTGTTCGACATTTATAACAGACGGTGGCTGAGACGCAGTTTCGGATAGTGAGTTTAATGTGCTTGAGAGAAGAGCAGCAGTTGCAGGGTGTATTCCCGATAACTTTTTCGGTGAAACAAGTCCATTAGGTTGATGATTGCCAGATGGACTGATACACATGGGCGCGACATGAGCAGTGTTAGATAGTACATCAGGTTCTAGATAACTACAGAATTGGCGCAAAACTATGTGAGAAAGAAATAAAGTTGATAATGAAGTTTTTTAGTTCTTACTAAATAAAAGGAAACCTGAAGTAACTAAACAGTTACGAAAAATATGAATAATAAGAGTAGAATGAATATAAAGCTTATATATGCAGAACCTAGGAATGAGCCAGATGTCTAGCTATATAAAAAAGTGTCGAAGGGGAGATAAATTACTTATTTTACTGCACATAAACAGTACTGTTTTATAAACACACAGATCAGGTGCTATTATATATGTATAAAATTATTCCCCAGTTACTCATACAGCGTATCTATGGTTGGGGTTGTAATCTACCTTTTATTATAATATGTACTTGTTTTACTGAGCTTTTTGTCTCCCTATAAGATGAATTAGCAATAATAGTGGCACGTTAACAAACACTGAGCATGTTGAGCGGTTTCAATTGACCTCAAGCATTTAATGATGTTCTGAATTGGAAATTAGTGGATAATTACCTTATGCATACAGGAGTAACAGAACATTATTTTTTTTGAAAAAAACTAATTGGTGAATCTCCTGAAAGTCATTTAGTTCCCTAACACTCAAGCAAAGCTTTTAACGACAGCAAAGTTAGTACTTCTATGAAGTATAAGACTTAAATATTTTTTTGTATGAACAAGTAAACAACCATAGATTCTCAAATATTCCGTAAATAAACAAGCACAGTAATCTTTAAAAGAGAAATGTTTGTAAAGCGAGTTTCAATACATCGATATTTGAGTAACAAAAACTCGTAACGATCAGGATCCGAGGTATGCACAGTGTAGGAATACATTTGAACACTCCTACTAAGTTACTGTCAAAGTAAAGGCTTTATGGACTGGACCTACGTTCTTCGGCAGAACCTTTAAAGTAGATGGAATACGTACTCAAATACAATTGGCAGACAAAAATTAACCAGAACAATAATGAAAGAACCTGAAAAACTTTAATACACTGACAAACCCTTCGAACCCTACATCTTGTAGTTTTTAACGTAAAACTTAAGAAGTCATTAAAGCTTTTTTATTTACTAAGGACCACATAACTAAATTAATTTTTTAGTGCTCACTAATCATCCACTTTATATCTATCGTAGAAACTGTTTAGGGTAAGCAGCAGTTATTGAAAAGGCTTTTTTGGACTACAATAATTTTGCTCGAAACAAAATAATCGGGGTACCATACAAAACTGCTGACAGAAAAACGCTTGCCAATCTGTTTTCTAAGAATGATTACTTTTAGAGAATAGGGAAAACTAACTATTTTTCTTGTATTCTTGAAGCTTCTCATTTGAAACTTTGAGATTACCAATATGTTCTCTTAAGATACCAACCCACTTATTTAAGCTGCTAATAATATTCCATGGTTCCATCATGCTCACACATATCATGATGAAGCAGTCTCCGAACGATTCTTCATTGATCGCGAACTTTAAAAGATGACTATGAACTGTGTTGCCATCCAAAATCCACACATTCAGCTTCGTTTGATCTAGGCGGTGCAAAAACATCCGAATTAAACCGATCCATACCATCTCTGTCTTCATCCTTGATATCCAAAAGAGTGTACTCAAGTCCAAAACCTTTTTTTGGATCTTCTGTACCTTGAAGTCGAGCTATTAGAGTAGTTTTCCCACACTCGTCATCACCCAAAACAACAAGAGTTTTGGAGGGAGACAATGTCACTGCAGCCTTGTGTGTAACCTCTTCGAGTAGACTAGACCTGCACACTATTATGACTTTAGGAAGTCAAACAAACCAAAGATGCTTTTTTTCCGTACATAAATCACCTTCTTCGTATCTGTCACAATCCGTAAGAGTCGAGTGAGGCATCGTAACCTTGAAAGTAAATAAACCACTTTACGCGACTAAATCAAATGATTCAAAGAGTCATAGACGAAAGCGAATATGTTTTGCTTAACTACCTTCCATATCTATAAACATTCTTCCACTCATCCATTCACATAAGAGTTTGAGCATGTGAAATGATCAGAAATAGGGGAAATAAAGGAAAATTCTGTGGGAATTCGTCCCTGTGAGTGTCTAGCCTGCTTATAGCGGCGGTTGGCAATATGCTTTGAACAGAATGAACATTAATCGTATGTCGATTCCCGAGCTGCTAAAATCTAACTGCTAATCACTAATCAATAAGGTGGACTACCTTCAATCCCTACTAAGTTAAAATCTGCATCGTAATTCTGGTGCCATCACAATTCAAGAATCTTGGTTAAATGATTTACAGGACGACTGTCTAGAATCACTACATGATTTCAAAATTTATCGTCAGGATCGATCAAACAATAAAAAGAGGTGTGGCGGCGGTGTAGCTATGTTTGTGAACGTGAACTGGTGCTGATCTACTTTTGCGTGTTTCAAGTTTCTAAATGACTACCGACTGTCAAACTCAAAGATTTCGTCCGAAACATCTGAATAAATACAAGTACGTTTATGTTACCAATATGTAAGTGACTCCAGATTGCACATCATCTGAGCTATCTGTTTTCGCTGATGAATTCACTGAGTTCGCTGTTACTGCTTTCAATGATTCACTAAAAGTTTGTAGCGGTAAATAAATCCCCAAAATAAATAGCTCTGTAAGTTTTCGACATTGGATGCTGACCATATGTTTTAGTGGACTCATCTAGCTGAAGGCGCTCGGTCAGGCATCCGCACCAGATCACGTGTGGTAACGCCGTGCTCAACATCAACCACAATCGCTAGCCAGATTAGATCAGAGAATTCCGATATATTGGTCATCGCCAAATATACTCTTCCGATCTCCTCGACTCTGTCTTTTGATTTCTCTTGGTGGGAACGAAATACATTAGAAGGTGTTACTGGTAGAAGCGTTGTCAAACACTGAATACCTGTGACATCATCATTGGTGAGACCGTCGTGATCTGGTACACCTTATTGCAACTGTGAGTCTGTTCCTTTTTGGGATTTTTATATATCATTGCCTTATTTTTTATTTTTTTTAAACATTGTGTTTTTTCTGGGATATATATATATTTTCCCCTCGTTCATTATCGTACTTCATATTTCATCATGACTGAACAGACACCTAAAGTACTCAAGCTTAAGACCTTGTCCCCACCTTCGTTTCAACTGATGCCTTTCTGGCCCGACAACATCGAAGCCTGGTTTTGCTACGCAGAAGCCGACTTCCCCGAGCACGGCGTGATCGACACACGTGCACAATTCCTCGCAGTAGTCAAGGCACTACCGCGCGAATTCAACAGGTACGTAACACCTAGTATGTTTACTAGTGATGTTTCCGATCCTTACGAAATCTTAAAACGCTCGATTCTTAAACGAGGAGACCTAACCGATCGACAAAGGTTAGATCAACTCTTCAACAATATCGACCTGCAACACGGTTCTGCGACGGACATGTTGCAACGGATGAGAGAGGTTATAGGCCCAAGAACTTTCGACGAAGGTCTATTCAAACAACTCTTCTTGTCAAAACTTCCCCAACAGGTGCAAGCAGTTCTGGTCTCGTTCCAGAACAACGCCTTAGACGAACTAGCTGTATCTGCCGACCGCATTCTAGAAATTACGAAACCTTCTACTACCGAGGTATTTTCAGTCAAAGAAAAGCCTCACACGACTCAGAATGACATAACCGACTTATGTCACACACTCACGCGTTATCTTAGTCTTCGTACCGACCGTAAGAGATCGCGCACACCACGTAGAAGCATTTCTCGTAAGCGATCTGTCTCTAGACCACGAGAGACAGATAACCCCGACTGGTGCTGGTATCATAACCAGTATGGAAAGTTTTCCAGAAATTGCAGAAAACCCTGCAATTTTCCCAACACGAAACCGACTGATTCGAAAAAATTCGGGAAACTTCCAAGCCGGCACGCGTTAACGGCAACCGTAGCCGGCGAACAAAGCCGTCTGTTATTCGTCACAGATGTGACAACGAGAGTTCGCTACCTCGTCGACACTGGCGCAGAAGTTAGCGTTCTCCCAGCAAATCCTAACGACCGACTTCACGAATCGACCCTAAACTTACAGGCGGCAAACGGAAAACCGATCGCTACGTATGGCAAAAGGTACGTTTACCTTAACGTGGGTTTACGCAAACCCATCCACTGGATTTTCGTCGTTGCAGATGTTTCTATGCCAATCATTGGTATGGACCTTCTACAACACCACAATCTGATCATCGACACTCGCAAACGGAGGCTAGTAGACGGAAACACTAATTTGTCCGTTTGCGTAACTTCTTTTACTGGTTGTAGAGTATCCCCAGTCACAGTTAAACATATGATAGACCCACTCTATCAACCACTACTCGATAAGTACCCTGGGATACAACAAACTCAAACGAAACTACCGTGTGTAACCAGCAATGTTACACATCACATCACGACTACAGGACCACCTGTATTCTCTAAAGCACGACGACTAGCTCCTGAAAAGCTAAGGTTAGCGAAAAACGAATTCGATCACATGATGGACTTAGGAATCATACGACCGTCAAGTAGCCCATATGCATCTCCGTTGCACATGGTCCCTAAAAAGGACAGCAACGATTGGCGTCCAACTGGTGACTATCGGCGATTGAACGCGAAAACCATTCCCGATCGTTACCCGTTGCCTCACATTCACGATTTGACAGCTACCTTGAAAGGTACAACTGTCTTTTCGAAAATCGACTTGGTTAAAGCGTATAACCAAATCCCTATGGCTACTGACGACATACCGAAAACGGCTATCATAACTCCCTTCGGACTCTATGAATTTTTGCGAATGCCTTTCGGTCTAAGGAATGCTGCTCAAACATTCCAAAGATTCATAGACGACGTTTTTCGAGGTCTCAACTTCGTACACGCGTATGTTGACGACTGTCTAATCGCAAGTCCGGACAGAGAAACACATCTCAAGCATCTGGACCTTGTTTTCGAACGATTACAAAAACATGGCATAACTGTAAACGTTCAGAAATGCCAATTTGGAACCGACTCGTTAGACTTTCTGGGACACACTATCGATGCTCAAGGTATCCGACCCCTTAGAACCAAAGTGGCGGCCATTCTGGATTACCCAGAACCGACCACCGTCAAGCAATTACGCACGTTCAACGGCCTGGTAAGTTTCTATAGACGTTTCATACCCAATGCGCATCACTTATGAAACCTCTGACCGACCAACTTCGTGGAAATGCGAAATCCATTAATTTGGACGACACCGCACGAAAAGCATTCTCCACAGTTAAGGAACTGATTGCTAAAGCAACAATGCTCGCACATCAGGACACCCGAGCACCCATTAGCATCGCAGTAGACGCATCCGACTCAGCAATCGGAGGAGTCTTACAACAATGGGTTAACAACTCCTGGCAACCCTTGGCATTTTTCTCTAGAAGGTTGCTAGACACCGAATCGAGGTACAGCACATTCGGTAGGGAACTCCTAGCTATGTATTGTGCTGTACGGCATTTCCAACACTATATCGAAGGCCGTGAATTCACTCTTTTCACGGACCATAAACCGCTCACTTTCTCGTTAAGCTCTCCTTCTGACAAGTACTCTCCCCGTGAGTCTCGACAACTGGACTACATTTCGCAGTTTACTTCAGATATTCAACACATCTCTGGAGCAAACAATGTAGTTGCAGACGCTTTATCTCGTATAACTTCCTTGAACAGTTTCCAAGGAATCGACCTTCTTAAACTCGCCGAGCTTCAAAAAGAAGACAGTGATCTTCAGCACGAGTTATCGTCCACAACACTTAAACTACGCATCAAACAGATGGGAACAGGTAAGGAAACCTTACTTTGTGACACATCTACAGGTAGGGATCGCCCAATCGTGCCGAAACATTATCGACGCAATGTCTTCAACACATTGCACAAACTTTCTCATCCAGGTGTTCGTGCAACCATCAAGCTTATAGCAGAACGATTTTGCTGGCCTGGCATGAATAAAGACGTGAGGGAGTGGGCACGCTCCTGTGTAAGCTGCCAAAAATCTAAGGTTATCAGACACAATAAATGTCCCTTAGGCTCGTTTAAAACTCCCGATGCTCGTTTCGACCATGTTCATCTGGATTTGGTAGGACCTTTACCAGATTCAAATGGATACTCTTATCTCTTAACCTGCGTAGACCGTTTCACTCGATGGCCAGAAGCAGTACCTATCAAGGACAGCACTGCTGAAACAGTGGCCCGCACATTCGTCGAACGATGGGTAGCAAACTTCGGTTGCCCTTCAACCATCACTACAGACCGCGGACGTCAGTTTGAATCTGATCTTTTCCGTCGTCTGACCACACTTTTAGGAATCACTCGCTTCCGAACGACCGCCTACCATCCACAAGCAAACGGGTTGGTAGAACGTTTTCACCGACAACTGAAAGCTTCGCTATCAGCTGCAAACGTTTCACAATGGACCGACGCTCTTCCACTCGTCTTACTAGGTATCCGCAATGCAGTGAAAGCTGACATTGGATACACTGCGGCTCAACTCGTTTATGGAACGACACTTCGACTTCCAGGAGAATTCGTGGATCCTTCGTGCTCTTCGATGAACATGGATCTAACCTCCTACACGAACAGGCTTACAAACGCAATGCGTTCAGTTAAACCTGCTTCCACTCGACCTCAATCAACTGATGTTTTCGTTCAACCTGATACCATATAGTACACACGTTTTCATTCGTCGAGACTCGCATCGACGACCATTCGAATCAGCATACGAAGGACCCTTCAAAGTTCTTCAACGTGAATCTAAGTACTATATAGTCGATAAGAACGGAACCAACGATAGCATCAGCATCGATCGCTTAAAAGCAGCGTATTTAGAAGGAAATCCTATCCACGTCGATTTTCCTTCGGTAC